GAATAAAAAGTAAGCCATATGACCCCGTATTATATGGAAGGTTAAAGAGATCAACTTACACGACCATCAAGCTGATTTTTTGACAAAGAGAACATGGACGTCCCGAAGCTATATGGGAAATGCCGTATGAAGGATCTACATCCGGAGGGCGGTTACTCAGTCTATTTTCAGCGGCTTTTAGGTCTAGGGAGAGTGAAAAATGAAATAAACATTTACAGAACCTCCCAAACAAATGAACACTAATTTCGATCCTGATTATGTTTATAAATATCCTACCTGAAACTATCACTTACACAAACATGCCAAATATTTGATTGAAAATGTCTTTTAGCTCTAAAAAGGTAAACAATAGCATGGTTAACAACAGATTTTAGCTCTTCTGCTCGTCGCCGTTCGTTCGTCATGTGTTCCTTTAAACGACGGGGATTGGGGTGGAGGTTACTGATATCGGGTCAATAGCATGTGGGGATGAAAGGCTACGAAGTTTGTTTAAATGTAAGACCTTTACCCACTTAATGTCACGGTGATAGAATGCCTTTAAAACTTCAAACGATCTTACAAAAGACACAGCGTGATGATATTGAACATTTAGCATGATGAAATTAAAAGTTAGATAAAAAAAAATCCATCAACTTCCCAATAGACAACGGTCCATATTGCTGATTAATATAGTGATCTCATTAACAGAGGGGCTGTGGTTCACGGCATTTGTGTTGTAAAAATCGTACCTTTGTTTCAAAAATCATTTTGACATTGCATATACATATAGAACGGTATTCCAGACTGTGACATACACAACGGTACATACATACGACTGTCATATCCATAACGGGGCAGCCACATATACATAATAGTGTACAGATCTGTCACATACGCAACAGTAAACAGGTCTGTCACATACACAATAGTAAACAGGTCTGTCACATACACAACAGTGTTCAGGTCTGTCACATACACAGCAGTGTACAGGTCTGTCACATACACAGCAGTGTACAGGTCTGTCACATACACAGCAGTGTACAGGTCTGTCACATACACAACAGTGTACAGGTCTGTCACATACACAATAGTAAACAGGTCTGTCACATACACAGCAGTGTACAGGTCTGTCACATACACAGCAGTGTACAGGTCTGTCACATACACAACAGTGTTCAGGTCTGTCACATACGCAGCAGTGAACAGGTCTGTCACATACACAGCAGTGAACAGGTCTGTCACATACACAACAGTGTACAGGTCTGTCACATACACAGCCTTGAACAGGTCTGTCACATACACAATAGTGAACAGGTCTGTCACATACAAAACAGTGAACAGGTCTGTCAGACACAACAGTGAACATGTCTGTCACATACACAACAGTGTGTACAGGTCTGCCACATACACAACAGTGTGTACAGGTCTGTCACATACACAGCAGTGAACAGGTCTGTCACATACACAGCAGTGTGTACAGGTCTGTCACATACACAGCAGTGAACAGGTCTGTCACATACACAGCAGTGTGTACAGGTCTGTCACATACACAGCAGTGTACAGGTCTGTCACATACACAACAGTGTTCAGGTCTGTCACATACGCAGCAGTGAACAGGTCTGTCACATACACAGCAGTGAACAGGTCTGTCACATACACAACAGTGTACAGGTCTGTCACATACACAGCAGTGAACAGGTCTGTCACATACACAATAGTGAACAGGTCTGTCACATACAAAACAGTGAACAGGTCTGTCAGACACAACAGTGAACATGTCTGTCACATACACAACAGTGTGTACAGGTCTGCCACATACACAACAGTGTGTACAGGTCTGCCATATACACAACAGTGTGTACAGTATTGTCACATACACAACAGTGTGTACAGGTCTGCCAAATACACAACAGTGTGTACAGGTCTGTCACATACACAGCAGTGTACAAGTTTGTCACATACCAATAGTGAACAGGTCTGTCACAGACACAGCAGTGTACAGGTCTGTCACACACACAATAGTAAACAAGTATGTCACATATACAACAGTGTACAGGTCTGTCACATACACAACAGTGTACAGGTCTGTCACATACACAACAGTGTACAGGTCTGTCACACACGTAATAGTTAACAGGTCTGTCACATACACAGCAGTGTACAGGTCCGTGACATACACAATAGTGTACAGGTCTGTCACATACACAACAGTGTACAGGTCTGTCACACACGCAATAGTATACAGGTCTGTCACACACGCAACAGTGAACAGGTCTGTCACATACAAAAATAGTGTACTTGGTTGTTGCATACGCAATGATGAAGGTTGTCTCACTCATAAAAGTGTACATATATCTTGCCGTGGATTCTAGACACAAAGAGGTCGAGATGCATCCATATTTTAGATAATTATCAGTTAACCATTATTGTCGACGCGGAGGATGCATGAATGATGTAAATTGTTATTTTGTCCATCAAAATTGATGTATTTCAACTTTTTATCCAGTATTCGAAAAATATGTGCCAGAGAAAGCTTTCCAATGTGACTTAGTTTACATAGTTATAGCACGGAGAACTCAATACTGACTTGTTTGGAAACTGAATCAGAGGACACAGGTGGAAAAGCGAAGATTTTGTCACTAAGTTTATAATTGTTCTATTTCTGGAAACTGGTCTGCGTGGTGATGAAATAGGCCTAGCGATGGCCTTAATTTCTCTTCTCTCAAATTAAGTTCGTTACGATAATAACAACACTATAATTGTCAAAGATGTCTGTCGTTAAGTGTTTTCATTTCCTTCACTCGCCCTGACATTTACAATGTACAACTAAGGAACCTTGGAGAACCAACATTAAAAATATATGAATAGATCCATCCATTATCTTAAACATGTAGCGATAGGGAAACAGCGACATCAAACTAACTTATATAATAACATTAAATGACGCAAGAATGTATTTTATTCATTTAAATATTATTTAATATCGAAATGGATCTCCTTTTCAAGAGTTACGTTGATTTGGATTTAAACACTGTGTCTATGCAAATACATGCAACACAGTACCGGGAGAGCAATTTACAATGTATATTTCTCACCCTCCGTAGACCAGGACAAATAAATCTATTGCTTCTCTCTATTTCAAATTAAAAACCAGAAGCTCTAATTTCATAAAATCAAGCTGTATTTATATATGAAACTGTATTTTATTGCAGTTCCCGCACTTGTCTACGCAGTCCATTATCCTTTCGTAATTTTGTCTCCACTGTTGTAAGGCTTTTCGGACTATCAAAAATAAAGGCAAAACATAAGGGAATGGGGATAATTCTGTCCAGTCTCTGATTTTAAATCCCCAAACTGTTATCTTTAAAGAGTTTCAATCGCGCCTCAGAGAGATACACAATTACCAAAGAAGGCAAACTACATAGGAATGAGAATGATTCTTACGTAATACCGATAACAAGTTATATTACTGTCAAAATCGCAGATGGTTGTTTGTCTGCCATGTTATTTCTCCGATCTGTCCATTAAAGAATACACAACTCAACTACGGGCCAGTGGGTACCAGTATTATGAAGTAAGGACAACATAAAAGTTTGAAGACGGACGGACACCGAGCGAATTGAGTCACTTACCATATTCGCATATAACCATACATGTCTCTAAATAGAAAATAAATAAATTTTTTCTTTTTGTTAATGTCGAGATTATATTTTTTTCTTAAAAAATGCTCAATCGTTTTATCGTTCTAATCTATGTATGAAATATTAGGGATCAAAAGGAACTCTCACCTATATAGATACATTTATATGCAAAGTCTTCATGATTACATCCCTTGTCTTTTAAACAATGGATATAACATGCACATCCCCATGATTTTCCAAGTCGCCTCCCAAGTGTAAAATTTAGTTCCGTATCAGCTGTTTGACGCAGTTTAATACTCTTGTATTTAAAGTTGTCTGGACGTTGTATATATATATATATATTAGGTACCACGTATCAGAAATTGTCTAAGCAGACTATTAGTACCTGGTCTTTCCAATCGAGTTCACAACAGCTGGAACACAATATCGTTCTTCCTCTGACAATCTGTATCGTTTTCTCATGCACTCACGAATAGTTCTCTAGAAGAGGGGAATATTGGTATACATTTATAGTGAAAAGTATTTCTACTTATCAGTATTTAGGTCCCCGAGTCAAAACCTTAATATTACAGTTAAGATGTCTTGAATATGTTTTTAGATAGCTACTCTTCATCTAAGAGAGGAGGTACAGATAGTTATGAATATCTACTTCCGTGAGGCAGGCCTCGTATTAAAATCAAGTCCATTTTGTCAAGGAAACCCGAGCGGTAAGGACGTCAATGGAAGGGAAACTACTCGTATCAAAATTAAAGTTATATTTTAATTCTGGAACCGTAAATGGAGTTAAGTAGATACTTTAAAACTGATCAGGGACGATCAGCAATTTGAGTAGCCTACCATCTGGACACGGTTGACTAAACATTCCCCAGTCTATCATAGAATAAAGAAACTTGACACCTCATATTATCCGAGGTTAAAGGAACATTTTGAATTTCACAATTTCCTTTTCCCCCATAGAAAATATATCGGTATTTTCCTATGGAAGCCAATACATTCTTTTAGAATAACTTTATTTTGTATTTCTCTGTTAAAATGGATAACATCTTGAACTTGTGGAGGAGGGAATATTTATTAAAATTTTGACACATTTCTGGTGTCATCCATTTGTTTTACCACAACAAGCAGTATTAAACATTGAAAATAAGTGTGTGAGCAAAAACAATCAATTAACTTTGAGTGACGTAGACAGATATCCAACCCTAACATAAGATTCTGAAGCCAGGCTTTAACTTTCAATGTCTGTACCACATCAAGGTCAAAGGTTATATCAAATAAAGCAACCTGCAGTAATATCCATACTTGACCGGATTGAACTGTTACTTTAGAATTTTTATCGGATGTCATCCCACGACGTGTAGAAATTATCAATCAACAACAGCATCAACTTTTTACATTTATTTACTCGACTTTATGACAACTGATGAATATGCATTATGTCAACTCTTTCAACATCTCAAATAATGGAACAGATTACTGTTTTGGTCCATGAAAAAATGTTTCACACACATTCACACATTACCACACACATCAACATTCATTCTCACATACAACTTTTATAACTCTCTCACATGCACGTTCACTTAAAATATCTTACAATATAAATGAATGACGAATGTAAATAAAAAAAAACTTTCCTCACTAATGGATTATGGATCACACATTTGATCCTCAAACGTGAAAACATTTGTCCTCCACAAGCAATCATCCTTGATGATAGTGTTTTAGATTTGTCATCATAATTGTGTTGTCCACTCAATTTTCAACATGATTCCATTTGATCTTTCAAACAAGTATTGTTCTTGTGTAGACACATTTTAACACATCTGATGTCTTGGATAAGAAACGCTTCATTGTGCTTTGCCTCTTCTACCTTCTCATTCCTGGGGGTGGTCCTGAAAAATGAGGAAAATTTGTTTCTTATACATTTATGAATGAGCATAATTAAGCTATGATACAGCTATATAATTTTTCTTTCTGGGCTTATAAAACAAAATGATAAGACCGGTAAATATGAATTTGAAAAATTGCAAAATTTGACAAGATGACAATGAAAAAACAGTTATTGATTTAGTTTGATATGGTGAATTTTTTAAGCTGATTAATTTCCTTGTGGACTAAAATATTACCAGCTTTGTTGTAATGATTGAATAATGATTGTGTAGAGCGAATGTTTTCAGGAAACATGAGGCCTAGCAGGAATGACGATCACCCGAGATGAGCCATATTGCTTACACAGGTTAAAAGTTAAGTAGCTTTCAAGTGCCATGAAAAAGAAAGAGTGACAATGACGACAGTAAGCCAGTATCAATACCCGCATACCATCAAACTGTCATCCTATATTAATACTTCCAGTGGGAAATAAGCAATGTTACACTAAAAAATGTTGTTTCTATAAAAAGTACAAAAATTACAGGTAGTGAAAAAAGATTTTTGAAATCAGAGTCAATTTGACCCTACCCATCAAACCCTGGAGGTCAGTCAGGATCAATATTAGCATATCATCAAGCTGTCATCCTTCACTAATAATTCTAATCAAGTTTGAAATATTTCCAATAGAAATTAATCAAATCATGCTCAAAAATCTATTTTGCCTATATAAAGTATAGTAAAATTTATTGCACTCCCCAAGGGTAAGTGCGCGGCCCTGGGGTCATGAAATTCACAATTTTGGTATAGCACCATAAAATACTTCCATACATGAAGAGTATTTGATTCAACCATATCTGGGAGTTGAGAAGATTTTTGAAATCTAGATAAATTTGAACCCTTTTGGCCACATCCCTCACGCCCGTGGGTGGGGGCCGTATAATTTACTATTTTGGTTGATCTTAAGCCAGGGATGTTTTTGCAAAATTTAATTAAAATAGGTTAAGAGGTTTTTGAGAAGTCAAAAATGTTAATGCTGGAGGTACCGCAATAGGTCACCACGAGACCACGAGACCTAAAAAGAAAGTTCTAATAAAGCCCCCCCATCTTATTCATGAACTTGTGGATGTGTAGGCTATGATTAAGAATTATGAAGTAGAAAATTATCACATCTAAATCACTTAAATAATACACCACTGAAATACCAACCTCTCATCATGCCTGGAGGTGGCCCTCTCATGCCTGGTCCACCACGTCCTCCCATGGGTGGTCCTCGCATCCCCATCATGCCAGGTGGTGGACCACCTCGTCCTGGGGGACCTAGAAACAGTAAAATTACATTTGTATTGACTAAACAGGTTTAGAGATATGGTAATCATTATTACTTGTGGCACTTGAAACTTGGCTTATTTAGAATATGAAGAGCAAAATTTAAAGAGGATTTTATATACAGTGTATGTATACATTGTACATTTTTGTGTAATGTTGCTAAAGTCAAACATATAGCTAAAACTTGCCCAATTTAATGTGAAAAATTCTGTACTGACATTGACTGGACTCTAGTGACTTAAGGTCATGACAACATATGTTTTGGAGCACTTACGAAGTGTATATAACCTATGTTATGATGATACAACAGCTCTGTAATCTAAGGACAGGTTTTAAAAAAAAGCTAACCTCTCATTTGTGGTGGAGCGGACATTGTGCTGCGGTTTGGATTCATCATTTGTGATCCAGGTCCACCAACACCCCTGACTGGACCCTGAAGTCCTTGGTGAGGTCCTCCACCCATTCCTCGTCCTGCAGCACGACCAATTCCAGCTCCTGGTCCAGCACCAGAGAGTGGTACTCGTGCAATTCCTTCCTGTGCGATAGATATCAAACAGCAAATTTAATGAACAGGTTTGAAAATCCTTTGGAGATTCAGGATTATCTTGATTTTGTAAAACTTCTATGTAGTTGATTAACTAATATGACACCAAAGCTACAGAATTAAATATATTCATTGATAGTCACACCCCTTATAGTAAATATCAAGAACTATTGTTTAAATAATTATCTGTTTTCAGAGAATATTGATTACTAACCTCCTCACATCAGTTTTTTTCCGATGCTTAAAAATTGTTAAACCCCCACCTCCCCGCCATAAAATCAGAGACAACATCAAAGCCAAAACCAAAACAAAAGTTGTTTGATAATAACTGCAAGAGGTGCAACTGAATCAAATATAAGTAGTTTCAAAATTTCCAAAATAAAGTGTTTACATCCACAACTGAGGCAGTATGAAATCTTGGAGGGAGTTTCTTAGCAGACACATGGATATAATTTGATATTTGAAGTTACCTCAGCTGGTGGTGGTCCCTCCACAGTCATAGAGACAAGATGCTCCCCACGCAAAAGCACCAGACCAAGAACCCTTTTCTCCTCCTTCTCGCCACTCTTGCTACTCTTCGGTTTCACTTTCCTGAATTCATCACAGTCCCCAAGGATGAGATTCATGTGTTTGTCAAATGCTTTGAAAGTTCCAATAAATGTGCGGCCATCCTGCAGGGTGCATCGCATCCTGTAGTTGATGTGCTGCAGCATCTTTGAACTCCTGCCCACCGTCTTGGAAAATTCAAAATGTTGTAGCGAGTTATGTTTTTTTGTTGAAGACAAACGTGAAGAATAGCATATAATTATCATATACTGTAAAGACCTGGTTCTTGATGTTTTGTATTTGAAATAATACCAGGAATATTTATCATGTATCTACTATTTTAGTAATATAATGACTGAAATTTCACAGAAAAAAAACGTCCGGTTACTATGGTACGGATTCACGTTCAATTGTGCCAAAGAATCATGGAATAATCAGATTAAACATAGCCGGATGACACTGTGCTACGATATACTGCAGATTCATTGACAAAGTACTTAGCGAAGTAAAATGCAATTATCCAAACATTTTAATTGTTGATCGATATTTGCTGATACAAATGAAACATTTTGAAATCCTGTCTTAATTATAGTACAACAGTTGTGTATTATCGTGGTATAACGTATGCAAAACGTAGCTGGCTTAGGTTTGTTTACAAATAGGAGCCGGCATCGTCCTTATTTACATTCAATATATATTGTTTTACAAAAATATGACAGGTACAATAAAGATTGAATATAAATTAGTGCATTCTTAATATAGTTACCATTTTGGCTGCTTGCAATGACGGCCGATGCAGTGGATTTAAAAAAATTAATGCAGGGACACCTGCTGTAAACAATGGCGGAAACGCTGAAAGTACGCGCTTGTGGAGAGCGACTGCAAGGGAGGTAACACGTTAATAACTTATTTAAAAAAACTCGATCGATTAAATTAGGATTTAAAAAATACATATTTATACACGCATTTTAAATATTTGTCATAAGATATAACATTTTCTCTGTAATTCTAAACGTCATAAATACAGTTAATGTGGAAACATTATCATTAAGACTTTGACCGACATTGGCAGAGAGAAGAATAATCTGGCCTCCTCTGCAACCAGCCTCCTGGAGCCGTAGTCTTGGGAAGGACATAAATTCTTCTTCTATTGCAAACCTAATTCGTTTTACAACAATTGCGAAATAAGCTTATATTATTATTCTTATTGGTTCATATAGAAAACGGGGTTTATTCTGGAAATACCTTGGGAAACCCAAGTGGTCATACATGGTGACACTAATGCCTTGTCATGTACGTCTCCGAGGTGAAAAACGGGTACGTTTCCACAGCGCCACTCATTCACCTTAATTTTTAATCGTCCACTGAAAGATCGTAAGGCCGAAATACTGAACTTAAAATCCGTTAAACGAATAGATAAACCCTCCTTCTCAGTTCTTCTTCAGCTTCTTCTCAGTCACCCCATCTCAGTCATCTCACCGTGAAAAACAGAAAGTTATCACAAACCGGTAACCTGTAGACACGATTTGTCTTTATTCTGACGGCCAACACTATGTCCCGAAAATTTTTGCAGTTCAACTTAATAGTTTTTCCGACTTATAAAGCTCTATTATAATGACTAGTAGTTGTATTTGATAAACTATCACAACTTCTGGAAATTACAGACTTTTCCGTATTTATTCGATATAAACCAATTTACAATTAACAGGAATTGTGTCAGAGTCACGAGTTTGTATTTGTAAAATACAGAAAGAGGATGAAACTTTAAAAAAAAAGTAGTTCGTGAAAGCAAGTCATCTTAAGTAAATAAACAGAAACTAACAGATGTATTTGTAAGATAGTGCCCCAAAGAATCAATTAGTACATCAGGTTTTAATTACATCATTTGTTTCAGCCAATGGATACTCTAGGCTAATAATGAATTCTAGAGACCTGGTGATGAGGAAACTATAACTCAAAGAAATAGAAGGATCAATAACAACTCAAACAGGATTTAGGTTGTAGGAAGTGGAAGTAATTTTATTACATTACTTCAATATTGAATACTTTTTAGTGCATTCTGGGACGTATGATGGAATTGTAATATATTTAATTAATGTTATAACACGTTCCTGATACATTTTTCACCGACACTTTTACCAACTTTATATATGATCTTTTATGAGTTTCCACTTAATATGTGATTTATGAAGCGCGTTCAAGAAATTCTAATGCTAGCTGGTGAGCCTTTGGCGAGCTAAAATGAAAACTTTTTGACGAGGTCCATAAATCCCGTAAGATATGGAATCGAATCTATGATCCTTTTTGTCAAATGGTCAATTATTCATAAACTAATGTATAAGGTAATTTTTGGTTTCCATTGTTACACCAGAATGCAAACTTTGGGCGTGTGACGTCATTTCCTTTCATTGTGGATAAACTTGGTGCCACTTGGCAATAGTCACCGCACATCACATGTATAAAACGTAAAATCTACTACATAGAGAAGAGACTCCCCACTTTTGTCTTTCTGCACCCTCGCCAAAATACAGCTTATACTTTAAGACATTGACCACGCATTCTCTTTTCATCCTGCAACACTGAAAATAAGACTATTGAAACTTAAACGTTGTTCAAACGCCGAATTTTGCCTGATGACGGACGCCAAAGTAATTCGTGGTCAACACGGAAATATAGTTCAAAACAGCATCGGACATAACAGCGATTTAATCAATTTTCTTTAATCAATTGGTTCTTTACAACATATAAAATCGCAAATTCCAACAACTATTCATATTTCTAAATGTAAATTTTAAAGTAAATTCAGAGTTCTGTCGAATTACCGTACCTACTAAAATGCTGTTTTCCGTCACAGTCGCATAAAAATGTATGAGGCAGGTGTATTCCGACAACGACAGCGCAATTTGCAGGATACATAGAGAAGACAAAATTGGCGAGCCTCTGGCGAGTCACTTTTGTCTTTCTCTCCCGATCATGTGCATGAAATACTTCTGTTTTGCGTCACTGCCGAATACAGCCTCGCAAAAATGGCAGGCGTATTCCGACAAAGGCAGCGCCATTTACAGGATAAATGTGGATATGTACTGAATAACAATGAAAAAAAAAGGTATTTACGTTATGTTTAAACTTGATCTAGTAATATCACATATGTAGACGTCTGTTTGTGTAGGTGCATGTATACATATATCTTTTCAAATTTCATTTCAGATTACTATTAAAAGTTCATATGTCAAAACAAATGAGATAGGTAGTATATTGAAGCTAAATATTGAAATAAATCTACATCCGTTTATCAATTCACTTAGTTTTACGCAAAATGAACAACGGATCCATTTTTTTCTGTTCACTGACTTAACTTACCTGTCAATGTATATTCATTGTGATTGCTGTACGGTTAAATTAATTCAGTATTGATTAGTAACAAAAGTCTACCTGTTCTGTATAATTGATGTAAGAGCGAAATCGATAAGAAATTTTACGGTGTAAGATATCGATACTTTGTATCGATTTTTGCTCGCCTGTCGTTCCTATAGCGACAGATACGCTACCGCCAGATGGCAGCAGTTTATTGGCTGTGGAAGCTGAGAACATGGCGACGTTTTCAACCACAGGAGCCGAGCAAGAGCTAAGACAACGCCTGATTCCAGAAAATGAACCTGAATATGACCCAAGTTTACCGTACGGTGGGAAAGTGTACCTTGCTCGTAAAAAGAAGGCCGATCCATGGCACGTTCGTGTTGCAGAGGTATGTAGATTGACCAAGAATGATAGCTGACTGTGTACTTTGCATTTAATTTTCATATCCCACCACGGGAAAAGAAGGATCTAAACGATTTGTGTAGGTATATTAAACAGTACGTGTACATGTGTCAGTATCGAATCATAACAAGTAGGCTACTGCGATTCATGTTATGACCTTTGACCTTTAAAAAGATGGCTTTGGGCCATTTCATCAGAACAAGGCCTAATCAGGCATAATTTATTGGTGGTACTTTTCTGAAGTTAGATATTCGTGGTATGTATGTATGTAATTCTTGGCAAGAGAGTGTGCTGTTCATCAGTAGAAGATCACTGCTATCCTATATGTGAACCGATGACATTTATAACTAAAAAGTGTAGGACATTCTCCTATACTACTTCGGTGAAGGATACAAAAATGGAATTGGGGATTCTAGTATTAGGGTGACTTCACTAAGTCTATCCTAGCCCATGAGAAAAAATGATATACATATTTAACAAAATAAACTAAAATACTCTCATAACATGTCCCTTTGATACATAAAATAGTGAGTGATGTTACTGGTAATGTGATGACTTTTGAATGGGTGTAAATCTTAACTTTTATTGAACTGGTATCTGTTGGGGCGAGTGGCAGGTACTTAATAGAAAGTCCATCTACTTAGTATTATCATACCCTGACAAAAAGACTTTGTATGGCTAACAAACCACTGACAGAAACACCAGTCTTGTCTGATATTGTTATACTACTGTAGCATATATGTGTCAGTGAAAAAAAATGTGGACTGTTTAATATTTTTTATTACAGTGGTCCCTTTTTTTTATTGCAGCATATGAAAAATAAATAACAGTAATTCACACTGAAAGGTATCTTATCTTTTCAGGCTTTGATTATCATATCAACATTGTCTTTTGCCATTTATGCATATTACTACTTTGACCACCTCCATTTCCATGTGACATATGCATATGGTTACCTTGGTTACCCCCAGGCCCAGCATCAGGTTGGGCAGCGGTATCTGCATGGTAAGCAACTTCATGATGTTTGTTAGTACATATTTGTTATATTAGATTTCATTACTTGACTGTGTTGTCCTTAAAATCACTGTTTGTATGTAGTGTAACAATTCAATACTTTCTATTGAGTTATCTTCCATAAAATCTTATGATGTAATTTTACAGCTCAGTACTCTGTTCAGTTATTGCCCTTAAAATCATAGTTCATATGTACCAGTAATGTAACAGTTCAGTACTTGTGCTCTTTATTGAGTTATCTCCATAAAAAAATCATTGTTAGTATTTAATCTTACAAGTCAGTACTTGTGGTTTTTTTTTTAAAGTTATCTACCATAATATTATTGTTAGTATGTATCAATTTTTTTGTGATCTTTCTTGAATTATCTCCCTTGAAATCATTGTTTGTATTGTAATCTTACAGTTTGATACTTGTGATTTCTATTGAGTTATCTCCGAAAAAACATTATTATGTAATTTTACAGTTCAGTACTTAGTTTAGTTAGCTTCCCTAAACTCATTGTTTACATGTCATCTTACAGTTCAATAATTGTGATCGCAGTTGATTATCTCCCTTAAAATTGTTCTTTCTATAAAATTTAACAATTGATTAATTGTAATCACAGTAGAAAGATATCCCTTTAAATCAATGTTAGTAAGTGATTTTCAGATTCAGTACATCTGATCTCTTCAGTCATTTCCCTTAAAATCATTTTATGAGCATTACACATTTGTAATTGTTTGGTGTTCCAATATTTCAGGGAAAGGAGTGGAGAAACACCAACAGAAAGCTATGGAATGGTTCAAGTAAGACAATCTTTAAAATCTTACAAGGAAATAAGTTAAACTGGAACCAAAATACTTGTGAAGTTAGTTAATAAACCATCTGTAAAGGTGCACCAGTATTGTATTTTGTGATCCAGAGTAAAAATTTGAAATGTGATTTCTTGACTACAGAAATGACATTCAGGTTTTGTTGTATAAGAAACTATACTTTATATAAGTTTCAAAATAAAGCTACACCTGATATAAATCTTTGAGTGATTACATTGTGACACCTGCATACATGGAATTTTTCCTGTTAATTTATTTAGAAAAGCAGCAGAACAGGGGCATCCTCATGCATCTTACAATCTTGCCGTTGGACATTTAAAGGGGTACAAAACTGATCTGAAACCAGGGTGAGTTTATAGCTTTACTGTAAGCTTGTTTATATCGATGGAAAGCTAAGAAATATCAATTATGGAAAAACTTTTGAATCTTAAATTTGGTGAGAAGCAATATTTCACAAGTAACTCAGAGTTAACACGAAATACAGAGAATTTTCTTGGGTTTTAGGTTATGGATGATAGCCAAGTTATTGCTTACAGTGTAATTTTTATTTAGTCTAACACTGTTTCTGTAACAGACTATGCCATGGAAATATTACTATGCAGTCATACTATCCATCAAAAGCAATGTAACAAACAAAATTTTCATTTGTTTTGGGAAATAACAGTCGTGAGAAATGTTGATTTTTGGATTATTGAATACTGAAGGAGACATAGTAAGATTGAAGATGACGATGTAACCTTTTCTCTAATCAGATTTCACCTCTCAGTCTCGTGAAGGGAAGTAACTCTGGGAGATAAGAATGCTAGTGGTGTGTGTTTAACCAGAGCAATGGTGAAGGTAGTTTACCTATACATACTTGTTAGTACAGGTTATCTAATTTAATATAAATGAATATCATTGATCATTCTTATATATCCTTTGATGTTTAATATTCTACTGTATTGGAAAATGTTTTATTTTTTAATTCCCCAGTGAGGCCCATCAGCTGATATCCCATGCTGCATCAAAAGGTGTGAAGGAGGCCCATCAAGTGCTGCATGAAGTCTGCAGTCGAGGAGGATGCCAATAGGCCAACAAATGGGTTGTCACAATAGAATCGGACAAACTTCAACAGTATTTCAGGAGTTTAGATTATTTGATTATTGATTATGCTAAAATGATTTAATATAAGTGATGCACTTTTCATTTTTCATGAAAATGTACTTGCACTTTCATTATGAAATCATGATGTTACATAATTGAAACAAATCATGTTGATAATTATCATTTTGCTTCAAATTCAATGTAAATACCCTGTTCAATGTCAATGTCTTCAATTGATTTACAGGAGATTGAAAAAAGTAATTTAATGAAAGATTTTTAGTAAACAAAAAATTCAAAAAGAAATATTGACATATTACTTCTGATAAGTTAAAAAAAAATTGATGATAAAAACTTTTCGATTGGAAAAAAATTAACAAAATCCTTTTGAATAGCTTGTATCGAGTAGTATTATAGGCACTTTATATACAGTTATATAACACGGGAAAATACAGCTGTAGAACTTAGTTCTCTTTTCAGATTTTGTTTGAACCGTTATTTGAAACACTCAGAAACCAAAGTTTCTGTTGGTTTTTAATTACACATCGTTTTAGAATCTTGATATCATAAAATATTGATTGTAAACAGAATAATTAAACACATTTTTTGTATGAAACAGTAAATTATTACTGTATTTGTGATGGTTTAATCAAGCACAAACCTTGAGCAATGCATATTGAACTAACGAAGGAGTTTCTCCTAAAAGAATCCGTCCCAACACAAACATCACAGAGTATTTGTTATCTTTAGATTTACTGTTGAATATTGAAATGTAGATATAGAGGATGTTGCTGTTATTGAATTAGATGTGTTTTGTTATTTCTAATATTTTACATTCTTATGGTTACTTTTACCGTTGCCATTTTTCTTGTTTATCAGATTTTATTTAGTTTTAAATTTTAAGAATATTTGTTCCTTTAATACTAGAAATTTTATGCATTAGCCTGACCAGAGGAGATTCTCTACAAAGACATTTTCTTCATCCTTTAGATTAGGCATACCACCAAGCCCAGCACAATAGATACTGTGGTTATACTTATATTTCATATATGGTGATTGATCTGGAACATTGACAGATCCTGTTAAGTTTAATAACAAACCCCAAACCTATTGTACTGTAAGTAATTTGTTGATTCAACCCCATTATACTCCTGAATATCTTTAGGTATTCTGAGGGTTGATAGATCAATTTATCCTCCACATCAATGATTATGGCTCGATGTGTTGGCTTAATCATCCAATATTTATAATTGTAAAATAAGTATTGGCAAGTGTAAATTTAAGAAAAATTCATATCTAATTGCCATACTTTAATCATTTCTAAAAAGCTTGCTGTCTTTTGGGGCTTTGAAATGTCAGATAGAAATTATTAATTATGACTGCTAAAGTAACCTTTTATATCAAATAAAATTTACAAGTTCCAGGTACGTCTTTCCTAGATAATTTTTGAAAAGATCTCTTACTGCTGAACTGCTAAATATGCTATGCAAAAATATGATTAACTGTATGGTCTCATAAAATAATCTGTTGGAGACTCATCTGAATGGTGTTTTCAGGTAGCGTTGTAGTTTTATAGGTACAAATTTGTTTGTTTTTCTTATTTATTTAAAAAGAATTGATTAAAACTTTGAATTAAATTCTGTGCCAGGTTGTATTTTAATTGTTGACTTTAAGCAATGACCTACATGAGTAATCAACATGTCTTCAAATAACTGAGGATTTGTACTTCAGGAGTAATATTCAAATACAGTAAATGTAATTTTTTGTCATCAGTCTTTGGTCATTATGAAGGCATATATGACACGTGATTTTGGACGATTAAACACAGCATTTGCATTTACAACCGTATTGGTCAAAAATACAGTAACTATAATCTCTGATGAGTATTAATGATAATTCAGGCTTACACTAGCCAACATTGCATTGTGGATATCACAATCTCTTGGCTTGTAAATATGTATCCATTTACCTTTGTCAAGATTTAGTGGGAAAAGGGCATATGAAGCAATTTACAGCTATTAAATATAACTTCAGACATGAAGCAATTACATTTAATAAGAATAAATACCCTCGTGAAGCATTTTAACATTTATTTATTTAAGTATTTATTCAATCATGAAGAATTTTACAACTATTCAGTATAAGTCATTAAGAATTTCACTACTACAATTATTGATTTGGACTCCAGGAAGTAATCCATATCTCAATATACTGATATTTGAACAGTAAAGGTCTTTCAACAATGGCATCAAAAACTTGTCATTAGATTAGACACAAAAAGTTCGTCTCTTTATTCCAAAAAAATATCCATTGTGGCTCCAGGAAATGATAGGTAACCCACACAGCAACACTAAATCCAAATATGAGTTCCTCAATACACTTATAAAGTTTACTGATGCCTTTGAATACCAAAAACTAAACATTTAGAAACCAACACTGATGTCAGGCTGACAACATAAGCTCCCAATCTCTTTGACAGGCCAGCCAAAAAATGTATCCTTGCATTTCAATATATATATATCAAGTAATCAATAACTTGCAAAATCAAACACAAACTATAATAGTAATATTACTCCAATTTATTTTTACTTTATGCTTTTTTTACAGTGAATATTGGCAATGTTTACAATAAATATAGAATTACAATGCTGTTGTAAAAGGTACAAGGGAAATACCGAGATAAACAAGTCAATAAATAATATAAAATTTAAAAGCCACAGAAGATGCTGTGCCACAGACTGACAATCAAATACCGTACCATGTTATAACTGTAGTAACAGGCAACACTGCATAATACTTTGTTGAATTTCATAAAGATCTCAAAGACAAATTATTCTTTTGTAAGCAGATTTAGCTCCAGATGTATGTCATATTTGCAGTAACTCCTATGATAAACAGCTTTAGGTGATTGAATCAAACTGAATGATATTGATAGCATAATGTACATTGAGATATTGGTAAAATCTGTCAAGTTTGATCTTTAGGCAGAAAGGTGTCCATTGATTTAAGCACCTGTGGATGCATAATACAAATATCACAGTTATATTGATTATCGTGTTTACTTATTACGGGAATGTTTAAAATTGTTTTCTAAACTGTATACTAAATTTCAAACTTACAAAAGTGCAAACATTACATAAACAGCAATAGATACTAGAAATGACTTCAGAGGTTTTATAATACCTGAAGGAAATAGACATTTTACTAGTCCCTTTTTTCCTGTAACCTGTCAAAATACTGATACCAATAGAATGGCCAACTAAAATTCAGAAGTGAGAATCTGTATTGGTTATGTTGAAATTGAAAGCATTTAGAGTGCATCACAATGCATGAAAATACCAGTAACTAGACTTGAAATACATATTTCATAAATCCTACAAAAACATCACATGTATCCCATTTATGTAAGGAGAATTATTATGAAACAAAAATGATAGCACAATTGGTGACTCTGTAATATAATATCTGAATGCTTTGGCTACGCATGTGCCACAAAGTAAAGTCTGATATCCAATTCCTTAAAGGGTCCATGATAGGCAGAAAAATTCACGTCTCCTGAGGGTTCTGTATAGCTATCAATAGGTAGTCTTTTTCTACAAGAAAGAAAATTTTATATAAAAGTAAAAAATATAAATCATTAGGATTGTCTGAAGAAAAATCTTGCATATGGTCACATGTATATATGTACATTCTTGGAACATGTAGAATATGTTTATCTTCGCACAGGATGGTGACGAAACTTTGCACCACAAATTATATACACAGGTTTAAGCAATTGTTAATAGTTGCTATGGTTTCCTAACATTTAAAATCAATATCACTGTCATTCAAAATGTACTTGACTTGAAGAGATTTCCAACGGTTCTTTTACTGTAGAAATTAAAAGGCTTGCACACCAGTTCTTTGCAACATTATATTTTATTGTCAACTAAATGTTGATAAAACAAGCAACAATTGATGTGAGATCTTTATTTCACGACAGAATGATGTAATCTTCATTGTCATGTCTTTGGCCTTATGTCATTGTTATATTCCTAGTTGCAGGTAATATCTGATACTTCAATGACTAATACAGGTATGTGACAACAAAGGGATGACTTCTGCAGGAAAAAAAAAAAAAAAGGTGTACATCTTGTAGTTTTACTTCATGATCCTTTCACAATGCTATAGCTCCCTGGTCTCCTTGCACGACAACAAATAAGTAGTCCTTTTCTGTAAAAAAAAAGATAAGAAACAAAGCTTTATCATTCTGAACTGATGTATTTATCTGTATTTCATTTTGACAAAAATAATATTATAATAATGGGATATAGAAAGAAGTTCAAACTTTAATCCATGGTCAAAAAACCCCTTTGTTTTGATGCCAGATTTCAGTATAGCTCATCCATTGAGGACATATTTCATAGAAATACAAATTTATCCTTTTTTGGGGCCCACAGTTATATGAAAAATATGGTTCAGCATAATAATAATAATTTATATTTAATGCTTCAACTATTTAATGATCAACTGCAATTTGACATTTATGATCCAGAATTGCAAGGTAAAAAAACTTATTGAAAAAATGTCTAACACAAGTCTTGATTTTAAAATTCACAGACAATTGATTACCCTTTTTGGACTCCAGAAATATAGAAAATATAGTTCGACATATTGATGATACTTTGTTAATGCTTGAACCAAAAATGTTTTAATAATCGACAGACTCTGGTTATTTATGACCGAGTATGATGCTTGTAAAAACTTGAATTTTTTTTAAAAAACATTTCAAGGTTGGCTGCTGCCAACATAAGCCCCCTCTGTTCTTCAAATAGGTGAGGTGATAAAAATGTGTCGTCATGGAAAAAGTCTAGCTTACGAGTGTGTGTAGGCAGATAGTTGGACTAAATCTTCATCTAAAACACTACAAAGCAAGTTGAACATCAATGTATCATTCTCTGTGGAATAACTGAAATATTTGTGATATATGCTGTACCAGTAATACAGGAATTTCACTCACTGGAATAGGGTAAGTATATTGGTTTTAAGTTCACATAGTGATCATAACTTACACATTGTAATAGAAAACAAATAAAACCAGGTTTACAATGATAAGCTTATATCACATATCATAATTACAAATGTATAATGAAAACAAGCCAAAACTCAACAAGTTAATTTTTTTAAAACAATTCAATAGTTTTCAATAGTATCAATGCTATCTTGAATCCATAATGGCCATCTCAAAAGTGTGAAAGGAAAACCTGATAGAAAGTATAGATAAAGAATTGTTTCTATGACATTGACTTATATCAATTCAGAGCCTCTACTTTGGCTTTCAAATTTACCCCGAAATATAGCACCTGTATAGAACTGTCAAGAGTTTTAGTCAGATCAAGTTTGGGAACTAAACTTTTAGACCATGTGGCAATCTTTGGTTGGGCATTGTTTGGAAATTATGACTCAATATGGCATGAAGATATTTGTTTATTATTTTGTCAGTCAATTGGAAATGAAGAAATGGAAAATGTCCCAGCTTTTCAGTGGCCAAGGACAAATCAATCCCTAAAATAATAATGTTAACACACCAAGAGGGATTTCCTACAAGTTTCATTAGCATTCATTTATCAGGGATGGAGAAAAAGTTGATGTTTATTTGAAAAGACAACTGCAACCCTGATTTATCCCGAAAAGAATCCCTGTTAGCTAAGAATGATCTATCCTAAATTGAGGACAGGCACTCTTTAATGAACTTACAGAGCAGCTTTTTAGATTGAAGACTAATTTCAAATTTTGACTCCCAAATTCCAAATGGCAGTATAACATTTAAACTGATGACAGGTACCCAAATATCACTCCCTTAGCTGCTTAGACCTGGTGAGCTAGAAGTTGACACAAAGTAAAAAAAAACATAAATAAATTCATGAAACTTTCATTTCATGATTAACAAGAGCACAATCCAGAATTAAAAACAAGCAAAGCATTCAAACATTATCAAAATTCAACACCAAAGCATTCTGTTGTCAAAAATGTCAAATCACAAAAAAAGAGTAAGTGGTGTTATTTCACAATAAAAGATTATCTGACCTACATAGGATTAAGTTAAGAATTGTTTTAATGACTTGAAACAGAAAAAAAGGAAAATTGATCCAAAAGTTAATGGATAGCTTTTATCTCAATATCTTCACTGATACAATTGCTGTATGATGGTATAATGTTTTCTATGGTATAGACAATACAGTGGTGTTCCAATACATGTATGCCATTTAGGAAAGAGATATCACATATCACCATGTGAATGAATGTTGTATACCTGTGAAGGGTGTATCTTGTCATACGTTGGTATACATAATTGTTACAGCATTTTGTATATTCAAATATTTAATAAGGAACAGAACTGAATGTCCATGACTGGAAGTAAATTGGTGAAGTTTTGACCAACTCTCACATGTGTTTATGGTAGCTCCTAGGACAACAACTGACTGAATGCTGATACTTTGATCAGTTTTGGGACAGTGGATGTAATGCATAAATCAAACCTTGCGTAACATATATCCAGCAATGAAAAACAATGTTATGTATTTTTGATAAAATTTAGGGGTAAAAAATGTTGGTGTGCCAATCCTTGTTTATAAAACAAAATACTGCAAACCAGCTTATGATTTCAACAATACATTAAGTTTGTAGAGATTACCAAGATATACCTTTAATCAAAACAGAATTACTGAAAACACACCTGTATACAGGTGAATAGCATTTTTTGGTTTGTTTTATTTTGTGATGAGTGTCATTCATGGTTTCATCAAAGAAACAGAATCAAGATTATTTGTTCATGGTAAATAATCATTTTGATACAAAATTATCAAAGTTTATCACCAGTGTTTTAATCTGCAAGAGTGAACTACTGTGAATTTATTTTGAAAATTTATGAAGGTAAAATAACATGTGAGAGAAAGTTGGTTTACAATTACATGTTTACTGGTAATTGTACACACTGTGATTTTCTTATTGATGTGATAATTCCAAATATTACATATGTTGTAATGTTGAAAAGGCAAATGTACCTTCGAAAACAGGAAGTGAAATTTCACTGCAGATCATGTCTTCTTCTCTGGAACACTGACTTGAGTCTTAACATGCTCATCAGTCTCTGGACTTCAAGGGTCGCCATCTTATCTCTTAAATTCTCCATTAAGGACGCCGTCATAGAAATCAGTTTGTCATGACTTCACATGAAAATATTTCTTTATCTCCATGGGAAAAGTGTAGTTCAACTGAATTCTCCGTAAGTAATAATACAGTTTGATCAATTTACTTATTTCTAATCAACTTGAAAAAGTATAGTTTGCTACTTAATTTCTTTTTCTATGGGATGCAACTAACCCAGATAGAGACTAATAGACCCTGTTACCTGTCTTTACTTGGCTTCTGATACAGAATTTCAGCTCACCGTGAATTGATTTTGAACACATACAGGCAATTACTCTTTCTTTTTTGTATATTATTTTATAAAAATTATACTAATACAATATGTACCATTTTTCGGTTCATATTGTTCAACACTGGACTGAATTATCTCCCTTGTCAGAAAGAGAATTATGAAATTACAACATCAAATGTTACCTAAGATGTCATACATGACTGACTGGATAGAAAAATTTATCACTGGGAAGCAAGATCCACCCTGTCTAAGCCACAAGATTGCTAATGCTTTCTGAAAGACTTTTTATGTGTTCTGGTAAAATCAACCTTTTTAAAATGAAAGTATGCATTCCTTGTATATGAAAAAGAAATTCTGCATTCGGAAAAAGTTGATTGGTCTATTAGTAAATAAAAAGGTAAGGAGAGACAGGACAAAAATAAAGCAAGTAACCTAATCTGAAACATACCTGGTATTTATCTAGCATTATTTCATGTCAGTCCACGACCTTGACCTCAGTCACATAGTTTGCAATTTCCAAAAATATACATAATTTTAAAATTTTTATATTTTAGTTGTCAAGCTTAAAGTGCAATAAAAAGAGACACAACAGGCTTTAAGTGAACCTAATAGCAATTCTTACATTTTATCTCAAAGGAAACCATCTTTTATTTTTCTAAAAAAAATGTTGCCAATTTTGATGTTGTAAAAGAGTGGTGGTGATGCTTTATTTACACATTTAATATTTTCATTGGACGATAATGAAGATATTTCTTGAAACTAAACAATTATGGAAAGTAAGCAATGCATCTACCACACATTGGGAATAAAGTAGTATGACTTTACCGAAGTTTACAGATATAATTCTGCAATGGTTAATGGTACATTGGGTATAAAGTCAAACCAAAAAGCAGGATTGGGGAACATGCTTTGTCCAAAATGTATATTTACACGCAATGCAAACTATGTGTTAACATGAATTCTATTTTCATGTCTTCAACATAATTTTACAATATATGTATTCCACTTAATGGCATTAAACAGAATTGAGGGATACATTTTCAAAATAGTATAACAGTACATTCCAGCTATAAACATACGTTAAAGGTGTATGAGATCATTTTTTATTTATTTATAGCATGCTGGATGTCTTGGAACATATCAAATTTTAAATCTAATTTGTATCAGGTAGTAGTTTTCACTGTTTAAATAAATTTCTATGGGAGTGCTGTTTTAGGCATTTTATACAAACTAATAATTAGAAGTAAAAATAGATTTTACCTTACTGAAATAATGAAACTATGTTTCAACTCCATAATACCAGGGTTCTTTTTTTTAATCAATTATTAAAACATTTGTTTAGCAGAAACTGGCACCATCTTCATCATGGTGTCAGCGAAGAGAAAACTGAATCTGAAGTTGTTGTTTTTATATTAGGTTGGCAGCTCACATTAATAGTAAGAATATTAGGAATATCCTACAGTATTATTTCTATAAAGACAATTTAATTTTGTTACAATGAATTCTATGTATGAAAATTAATCTTGGTTAAAAATAAGTTTCTAACTACCTTTAAATTTTACTAAAATATTTTTGCAAGACAAACACTGACTTTGTATTCTATACATTTCATATAAAATTCATTTTTATTCTATAAAACTGAATATTATTTAACCACACATATTACAACATGTTACCTATGGGCAATTTAACAATAAAGCATAGATTTTCATGATCATAATGATATGCAGAACCACATGTTGCAGCATGGACTTACTGAATGCGCTTTATGCAATAATATCACAGTATATTATGTAACAGGTAGTCAGTGTAAATCTTCAGGTAGACACACAAATCAATAATTATTTTCAACATAGTTAGGTGTATATTTACCTGGTGCAACCATGATTTCATGTTTTTTGGAGCGGACACGCAAAAATGTGAGGTCATTTTGAGGGTCAATATCTCGTACAACACTACGTGCTTTCTGCGTCAGTTGTGTCAGTAAATTAGCATATTGCACCGTTGTGGAGTTATCAAGTGTAGTTCTAATTGGAATTCCTGTAGAAAAAAAATACAGCACATTGACAGACAAACCAAAAATATCATTCTTAGAGATTTCAAGCCAATGAAAATTTTTTGTGATGCTTGTATGAAATTGTATTGACCTGTATAAAGACTAAAAACAATGTAATTCACAAAAATTGATTTGATATTGCTATCTGAATGTTGCCACATCACATTGTGACAAAAAGAGAAACTTAATCTCTTGTTATAACAGGTTTTCTGTAGCAATTACATGAACTACTTTATGGTTTGTACTGTAGAAGTGCCATACCAGTATCATCCTTTGTGACACCAGAATACAATATATTTGGCAGTGTCACAATAAAGCTGGACCAAAAGCAACATGAAGGCATTAAAATGATCAGAAAATTTATGCATGGTCACACAAACTTTCAAGAAGTGATTCCATTTAACAATTTCACGTTCAGTTAAAAATAAACCTGCAAGATATTCAATTAGCTTGGCTGGACAAGTACCATTCAACAATTAGTTTAAAAATATCTTTTTTGATAAAGAAACTGTTAATCATACCAAAAAAGTAATGAAAATAATCACATCATTAATATATAAAAATGGTTGTATTTAAGGTACTCTGTGAAAACGACTCCTTACCATCAGCATTGACAACAATGATGCCTATCACTCCCTTGTGTGCCTGAATTCTCTTCAGGGTATCTTCTACTTCAGTTGCCTGCTCAAACAAACAAAAATTTTCATGGTTTTGGAATGATATCACATACATAGAGAATACATGGTCAAAGTTTTTTACTTCTCTTCCAAGCCAAAATGCAACTTATATTTCAATATACTGACCATGTATTTCATAAATGCTGAAACTGTGATTGAAATTTCAGACTATTGTAACATCAACAGTTGTTGTTCAATCTTTGTTAACCCATCATAGATGTTATAGTGAATTTTGTCTAATAACATATATTTGCCAAAATTACTACTTTGTGTAGAAACATACATGAAGTTCAAAACTTCAACAGATACAACAGCAATTAAAAATTTTTTATAGATAATCTTGGTCTTTAAACCATATACAATTATTTACTCAAAAAGTCATTCAGTCAAATCAATGCATGTGAATACAGCTGTCTCCTATTACAGCTGAATCCAGCAAAAATACATGTGGTAGGTGTATTCAGACAATGGCAGCACCAGTTGCATGATAAATGTTGATCTTATTACAGTCCATTTTATTGTTACTTTCCATCAAAAATCAGTAAGAGTTTAAATCTTCAATACACTTCCTAATTGGCCAACAGCTACTTCTACTTATATACACCCTACCAGTAATCCTATATTATATGCCTTCAAAGGTTCACATCATAATTTTTAATGTTGATGACCACAAAGTCTAATATTTAGAGTATCTTAATATCTATTGCTTTTCAAGATTCTGTTTCAAATCTCCTCAGTCAAACATGGAAGTTTTATCTTCTAATTTAACAGAAAAACATACAAAACTTCATTTGGGAGTGATATTTTAGGGTAGTAGACAGTGGACCTTTTATGAATGTGGTCATGAAAATTTGCCAAGATTCAGACATTATATCACAGTAGTTTTTGGAAGATTTCTTTCTTCTTCTTTTGTCCAGAAATTTTGTGGAGTGGGTTCTTAAAATTTGAAAGGAGTCCCACAGGAAATGCATGAGTCAAGGATGAAAAATCTGAATTATTTGGTTACCAAAATGTATACAATGTACGTTATATTTACACAACTATATGCTTGTCACATCTTTAATGTTATCACTTGATTACGGTGTAGGTAGGGGTTGGACTAGAAGAAGAGTTTGCGATGACTTGCCACTATGATGCCGGCATCTGATCAAGTAACAGGGTAATAACTGAATAAAACTGTCGTCAGACAACAATGCAAATGGTCAAATCCAGTCTGCCCCGTAAATGTATTGGTATATTCATTTTATATCCGTTTAGTTAAAATGCTTACACAAATACAAGAAAGACAAAAACCGAGGGAAACCCAATGTAACTTCAAGGCATTTACTGTTAGCATGGTATGTAAAGCATGGCTTCTGTTGACAGAGATGAAATGTCAACACGACCAAACATGACCGAACGGTCCGTACTTTGTTATTTGAGCAAATATTCGGTGCATTTCGAAAAAAAGATATTCCTATATGTTTCCATTGTATTCAAAGTGAATCAATAGTAGTGTATAATCAATCGCAGTAAATCATCAAATAAATACTTTACCATTCTTAAAAGACTGTTGTCGACTGCTATCTTCAGTCTGTTGCCAATGACAGTTTCTCCGAGTGTTTTCCGCATGCGCGAGGAAACGATTAGTAATATCCGGTTTAGTCTAAATTTGAAAACGACACATTACGGGGAATAACTTATATTTACAGATGTTATAAATTCAAATGGAAAAAATCCATTGATTGATATTGTTACTAAATTTGCATGGACAATTTCTTCATCATTTTTTTGTTAAATATTCGATTACTGTACAAATACTCAGTACTGTACTGCACTGTACAGTACGGTGTCATTGATACATGTATGTATTTTATATACACTTCACAAATGCAAGTGATTAAGGAGACGTTTAAATAAAGACAAACTTTCGATCGATTTAATGAAAATTACATTTAAAAATAAAATCATACGACATGAAATTAGAAGAGTTACTGGTTGTGTTTGGAGTGTTGTTTTATGAACATTCATCTGTTTAGCTATATGTTTGATTACTGTTTGGCACCAACATGTGTTTTAATTCTACTTTTGTCTTATCATTTGGTAAATAGTATAGCGTAATTTGACATCTGTATGCATCCTATCATGTCGTCATAATATACATCACCCCGACCTAAAAATAAAAATGGCAAAGCACGTGCTCTTTCGGACATTTTAAAATGAAATCAGAGTCACAATGTCGACAATGAAACAATCAGGCATATTAATAAGCATTCATATTGAAACTTGCATTGTGAGTCCACCTGTCAACTTTCGGCATCTTTCACGGAAATCCGATGATTTTGAACTGAAACAAACCCTTAAATATTGGATCAACGGCGATGTGTAAATGTCCGACTCGGAAATAATGGTGTTATCATCTAGAAATAGATATTGTATGTTAGAAAATGGAGACCGGAAAGCTATCCCTGATGGTTTTGTTGCAGGAAAAGTGTCATTGTCCTTGATTTCCAATCCTGGTAGATTTGTAAAATGTCAACAGATTTCTTGCTATTTGAAGACAAAACATCGTCGATACCTAAAAGTGAAACAGATTACCTTGGCGAGGTATTCTTCTACACATTCAGCATTTAATGATAAAACCAAGTCTGCTGAGAGAGATAGGCGCAGTTTGATACCATGCCTGTAACAATGATCTACCAGACTTGTCGCCAAACTTAACTTTGGTCCGTATATCGGATAAAGAGATAAATCAGCCACACTCGATTTATTTGGTATAAAGCCTTTATAAAGACTTCTATGGCATTCTACACAATTTCAATCCCACGTCTACCTACTACACAGTAAGATATCTGGATTTTTTTCTCGTTTTGTAATAACGGTAGACTGCAGAAAACAGACAGAAGTTCAGAAAACTAATAAAACTTCTTCAATCTCGACAAAAGCTTACCGACAAGCAGCATGTAAAGTGTATTTAAAGATACCGCTTGCTTTAACTTGCATTGAGCCTCGTCTCAAATATTCCATCATGTCTAGAAAGAATAGGCCGACAGAAGAATTAAATCACTCTTGTTTTCTGGAATTAACGTCTCAGTGCTTGGTCCATGTGAAGATTTACCAATAACCTTGTCGATTATAACCACAGGAACTAGAAGACATGGTTATGAGTAACCTAATGCTAATTCAACGTTCTGTTCATATGTCGTGCATTTCCGTCAGCAATGGAGAAGTTTGAATCAGGAAATAAGATTTTTTTTCTGTCATGCTTTTGAAAAAAAAATGTTGATAGTTTCGGCGAGTTATTGTAAAATCACAAAAATATCCAGTATTACACAACACAACATTAAAACCAAGGCTCCCGTAGACTATTAAGATCTTAATAACAAATTAATGTATGTAATGCACAACATATTTAAATGCAACATAAATGTGTATGTAGATCGACATGAATTATATTTAGCCAATATTTATGTAAATTATTGATGACTTGATATTGTGATGTTTTTGTTTTGTAATGTATTGAGGAAATGGCAACTATAAGTTGAAATAACTTGTGCCCGATCCTTTGGTAAATAATTTACAATGAAATATGTTTAACTAAAAAAAATTATGTGAAAGCAGAGTACACAGCAAAATCTACAAGAACAGTTAAAACAAAAAGGTTACGTCATAGGCGCATGACGTCGTTTGATTAGTCACGTGTATGTACATAACAACTCGTCTAGTGTACGCGCGAAAGTTTAATTGGCGCAAAAGCCCAAACTGTGGGCATAATTTATCAACTAAAGAAGATTAATACCCACCAACATCCAAATAAGGTAAGACATGTTTTGTTTTCGAAATGTTTAATTATCAACAATGTATTTTTTTTACACAAATACGCCCATGATGCAAGGTTTTAATTGACTGCTACGTCCGTATTGCCTGCAATATTGTAATAAACAAACAAACTTATCAATAATGATTAAATGATATACGCGGGTATTAATAAATCTTGATATATATATGCTTCTGAAATGATCTACTACATAAAATTTCAAAATGAGAAATGTGGAAATATATATATAAGCCTTTGTATAAATAACAATCCCATTCTCTTGTAGTATTTTTTTCATATAAAGGTTATGTCCGAGAGAAAACAGAAACGACACAGAGACGAGCAGGAGTATGATGAATGTCTACGTGAGTTGTTTTTTCCTGCTGGAAATGTACAATAATTACTCCATGTTCCATTGACAAATAAGTAAAAGAGATAACGTGTTGTTAATCAGGCCTCGCTAATGTCAAAACATACATTCAGCAATACTTAGTAAAATATATATTTACAGCAACAGAGTCTTATACATGTACACAAAAGTACTCTAGGGTAATTTTCAGTTATCAATGTGATGGGGTGATATTAAGGTTTTGAAAACTTAGTGGTGGGGATTTCCTATGTAATCCTGAGAATTCCATTATTTTCAGAAAAATGGGTAAAATCCCTTGATCTTGGCCCCGAGTGATCCCACGTATTTTACCAAGGGCTTAATAGATTAATATGGTCGCGGAGAAATATCGCTTCGTTCATAATGCAATACATAAAATTCCTTTCGTTTTTTTTTTTTAAAAGAGAACGATTGTTGGTGTGATGTTCAGGTTTTCCAACATCGAAAAAAAAATTCGTTATTGTCATCAATCTTGTTAGAATCTTCACCTGTTTTTTTTACTTTAGATTTCCACATGTAATGTAATATAACATGACGCCATGTCCCGTTCCACAGGTAAAAGATGTGCTCGCCCCAAACCCGACCCTGATGTGTACAATTGGCCAAAAGAATGGTTCCCTAAACGCGGTACACCTTTAGTACCGGCAAATATGTCAGCACTGAGGGTAAGATTTGATCAAACTCAGTAATGAAGTTATGACAACATCTACACACTATCTTCAACAGACGGTTATTCCTTTATGACTGAGCTATCCTGGCAATACCATCTCTTTTTACAATTATCGGATGTGTTTTTTCAGTTTTCCATCTTTTCGAATGGATGCTTTCTCTAAAAGCACCCATTTATCCTTTTCCATGTACCTTATTTTAATTTCTTAATTTCATTGCTAGTTTGTGTATGGACAAACAAAATACACTATTAAACCAGTAGTGTCTTGAACATCAATAGCTATATTTATGTACATGTGTATTTTCTATACCTGTATATTATGTATTTACATATATGAGTCTGGTGTAGAGGACTTGTCTTAGTCCTGAACCGGAAATAAACTTAACTTAATCAATAGTTCTGTGACTTTGTTTGGTACTTTGATCGTTTCCCCAAGTTTGCATTCACAATAATAATTATCTCTTTCCTACCATGTTCTTTGTTTCTTATCTACACTTTTCTTTGTCTTTTCCTTCACGTCTTCTTCTATTCACCTCCGATACCTTACATCAATAAGATTGATACTCCGAAGCCCAAACCCCCTTGCCACGTCTTTGAGAACACTTTCTACCTGCAGTCTCCACCAAAACTGAGATCCGAGTTGGAGCCTTGGAAATTAGATTTTGATTACAATCCAGATGTTGAAATGGACCGGTAAGAAAAAGACAATTCAAGTTACCATGGTTTTAGTTATTCTTTATTCGTCTTTATATTCCTAGTATTCTTGGACAGGTCAGGAATGTCCGTGTTTTACGTCCTGTCAACATGAACAGTATATCGGTGTGGATACAGTTCACAGGCGATACCGGTTCGGTCAATGATAGTTAATATACTTCAGTTTATACCAAAGATGAACAAAATTTGGATGTCAATAATTCAACAGGTGATCCCAATTTACTGTCTTGGAAAATATAAAACAAAACATGCTAATTAGCCTCCCGAAACCCACGTGGGAATGGTATTTCACCTTACGCGGGCACTTGTTTGTACTTAACAGCTTGAAGAAGATCAAGAAAACCGAGAAACAGCTACTAGATAATATAACCGGACATCGTAAAACACACACAGAGAGGCTGAATATCAAAACCGAGGCCGAGAAAATTGTCGATATTGAGGAATTCTGGGAAAAGACCGCGAAATACAACGAAAGAAAGAAAAAAGACATGGAAGTAAGGAGGAAAATTGTTGTCTTGTAATACCTCGATATTGAGTTGTGAGCTTTAACAAAATAAGAAAACGCTTTTGTTTGTTTTGGACAATTGTTTGTTGTAAATGAACAGAAGAAATAAATTCACGCTCTAATTTCTAAGGACACATCACGAAAATCGCTTCCGTATTTGGTACACGATATCAAAAATAGGAAAGTAAATTAAGCGTGGAAAAGTTGTTCTATGTTATCATTGTGAAAATTTGATAGGTGTTGATTAACGAGGGCGAACACCAGTTCCGTTTCCAGTTGTTTATTCTGTTTTTCTAATTATAAAGACCTCCAACAATGGGTCAAGGGTCCTAAAGTAACACAGGGCTCATTAATCACCTGAATATCATCAGGATCGTAGACGATCAAAATTTACGGGACAAATGTCGAACGGAGGTTTGAAACGTCCGTACTGGTCAACGTCCCCTTTGTCCACTAAAAAACCCGCCAAATACAGACAAAGACCAAAGAACGAAAACGAGACAATAACTGGACATACGTAGACACACTAAGTCACATAGGTAAACTGGACATATAGACGCAACATATATACATACATCTTAACGATAACAGACGACGCGAAAATTCAAACGACGCGACGCTAAACAACGGCGGCCAAAATTATCTAAAAACCGACCCTATTACAATTGTCATGTGTTTAATACAATTACTTCATATGTCATTCCAGATAATGAGAAGAGTATACAGAGAAAGGGATGTAGGCGAACCTCCGGATACTAACAACATAGTAGAAATGGCAATTGACCTCAAACACAAGGTTTTCCTTAAATCCATGAAGGAATCCTTCCCCGAATATACCAACACCAAGAAAATCAAACAAGATCATGGACATACGGTTACTTATTGCACGATCCCAAGCCAGGATACAATTACAGACGAGTCCAGAAGAATATTCAATGCAATTTTCCAGAATGGTGAATCTGATTTGGAAAGGAATTGGGGTGTTCAAGTGCACGAACCCGAGCCTGGACCCAGTAATGGCGTCAGCTATGCATATAAAACTCACAAGAAAGAAAGAGCAAACGTTAAACCTGACAACTGCTACAGCAAACATGGATTTGTACGAATCGGAGAGAGAACAGATGTTAAACAACCTTGTACAGTCGCAAACGGCCAGGGCCAGTGTAGTATGTTATGGGGTGGACACGAGAATCCCAGAAATCTTGTACAACATAACAATAACGATAACAAAGTTAGTAGCAGCAGCTCAAATGGTGAAAATGGCGGCCCGGATTATGGATTTAAAGAAAATGAATGCGAGGACGAGAAATCAGGAAAAGAAAGTCTGCCACAGTCCCGTATGACATTATGGTTTGGTCACAATCAGAGCTGGGGGTATGACGAAGACGAGGCAATTACATTGTGGAGTGGACAGAATGAGTCGATGGTAACTAACGGAGATACACAGCAAAGAGACAACCAGCTAACTTATGAGGATAAAGAAAGTAAACTGATAGATAAAGATGAGGATGTTACTTTGATCAGAACAGTGCCTTTCCTGTATCTTTCCACTGATGATCTACCACACAGGATTCGAACCGAAACCTTCACGTTCAAAAGGACATCACACCAGACTACGGTCACAAACGACCATGATCTTCCCATCTCTCGATGTATCATCCTCTAGAATTGTCACTTGTCCTATCTAGATAATCTTTGATAGAGGTAACATCTCTAATGTAAACACTAATGGGACAGGTAACAGTTGTCATAGATCTCTACAAGATAACATGTATTATTATAAATCAAAACTGATTTTCAAAATTATCATTACATGCCTCTATTGATTGGTCTGACCACCAGATGAACTATGTGGTAGTTAATCAGTTACAAATATGGTAAATTCTGTGATACAAAGGATATCTAAAAACATTTTTATGATACTTAGTAGTCTGAAGTTTATTTTTTTAAACGTATAGATCAATATTTCAGAAGAATGTCTGTATTATGACAAGCTTTTAAAGCTATGATAGATATTTCTTCCTCTGATAATTTTATATAAAGATATTATTAGTGATGTGAAAACAGTGTATTGCACAAGATACCAGAATAACAGGTTATCTAAGTATCTGATTGCTGTTATCTAAAGAAATGACACATCCTGATAGCAATGAAGAATATTTCAATTTTAATAAAAAAAATACTTGGAATCTATGGAGTTGTGACTTTTGTCATTAAACTTGACATCAAAGGGTTAGTGAACCTCTCGATCTAGTTAAACTTTATACACTGTCAGTTTTATACTTTGATGTATGAAATGGTTATAAACCTCTCTGTCTATATCTAAACCTTCATCACCTTCATCAGTCATAACAGTAGGCATAAAGCTTCCTAGATTTCAACACCTTTGGTCCTAACATCACTGACGTGTCGTACAAGGAAACAGCTGTATGATGCAGTTTATTTCATTATTTGACTCTATCTTGTCCTAACATCACTGAAGTGTCCTACAGGGAACAGCGTATGATGCAATTCTATTCATTATTTGATTCTATCTAGTCCTAACATCACTGAAGTGTCCTACAGGGAACAGCGTATGATGCAATTCTATTCTTTATTTGATTCTATCTTGTCCTAACATCACTGAAGTGTCCTACTGGGAACAGCGTATGATGCAATTCTATTCATTATTTGATTCTATCTTGTCCTAACATCACTGAAGTGTCCTACAGGGAACAGCGTATGATGCAATTCTATTCATTATTTGATTCTATCTAGTCCTAACATCACTGAGGTGTCCTACAGGGAACAGCGTATGATGCAATTCTATTCATTATTTGATTCTATCTTGTCCTAACATCACTGAAGTGTCCTACAGGGAACAGCGTATGATGCAATTCTATTCATTATTTGACTCTATCTAGTCCTAACATCACTGAGGTGTCCTACAGGGAACAGCGTATGATGCAATTCTATTCATTATTTGATTCTATCTAGTCCTAACATCACTGAAGTGTCCTACAGGGAACAGCGTATGATGCAATTCTATTCATTATTTGATTCTATCTAGTCCTAACATCACTGAAGTGTCCTACAGGGAACAGCGTATGATGCAATTCTATTCATTATTTGATTCTATCTTCCTAACATCACTGAAGTGTCCTACAGGGAACATCAATTCTATTCATTATTTGAATTGAAGTGTCCTACAGGGAACAGCGTATGATGCAATTCTATTCATTATTTGATTCTATCTTGTCCTAACATCATTGAAGTGTCCTACAGGGAACAGCGTATGATGCAATTCTATTCATTATTTACCACTATATCTAATTCTATTTTGTAGAGATAAATGCTATTTACTTGTGTCTTTCGTACTAAATATGCTGACAAGTTTGAAGACCTTGTGCTCATTCCTTTTAAATGTGAATATTTTCATACCACGATCAAATTGAGAACTCTTCCAGTCTTCCTTGCAACAGATAATGAGAACCCAGAGTGTTGGGATGAGTTCTGGTGGCCTGTTGTCCCATCACCCCTGCACCTCCCATAAAAGACACCAACAAAAATATGAATATTATGTTCCTAAAATATATGTCAACATCAGCTTGGATGCTTTCAATAGTTTTATAGACCATATGGAACATGCTATGAGTCCTCCAGAACTGTAGATAAATACACCTTATCCATGTCGAAAGTTACACATTCCAAAAGATATTTGTAAAAAAGGCACACAAGTGTATTCCAGTATAAATTAACAATGAGATACAGAAATAATGAATTAAACTTCTAGAACTCTTTATGGTCAATGACGCTAAGGATTGTAGATAAATCAGGACGAATGATCGATCACCATCTGATGATGCTTGGCTAATAAATGGCATTATTTCTCAGTATTTAGCATAGCTGTCATTAAAAATTGAAGATATTTTTACAATTTCTCAGCATAAGTGTTTATCCTATTGTGGTAAAATAAATTCTCTATAACAGCACTGCCTATTGTCTGGAGTTTGTATAAAGACCCTCTAGGAATGATGCCACTAGGACGCTGAAAAGGGTAATATTAGGATAGTAATGGTGCCATAGTTCAAACCTCGTAACTCAAACTTGTCTATGATATTGTAGCCCTTTACATGGATTTGAAGTTTGTGAAATCCCTCCAGGTATAAAGCCACTAAAATAGATAAATTTCTAAAATTAGTGACAGTGGCCTTGTCCTTGACCTTACAACCTTGTTTCTTGATCAAAATCCCACAAAAAAAAAAACTGAGAAGTGTCTAACCCTACATCAATGAAACATGAGCTGGGATCAAAAAGTCATTAGAGCACTGGGAAGGATTAAAGAAAGAAAAGTAAGTGACCTTGACCTTAAAACTCTAACACTTGAAGTTGTCAGAAATTTTATTTTCCTATATAACTGTATACGTTTGATTAAAATTCCATCAAAAGTGAAGCTAGTAAGGATTTTCTAAAAATAGTAACAATGACCTTGATCTCATGATCCAGAAATTCAAATTTGTCAGAGATATAATAATCCTTCTCAAAAGGGTAAAATTTGATTAAAATCCATAAAGGAATGAAGACACAAGAATGCTGATGAGAATAAGTGTTATGTAAGAAGGTACAAACAGAACATCTTTATATCAAATCCAATATAATTGTGCAAAATGCATGGAGTATATACAATCCCTCTGCATGTTCAAGCAGGAGTCTCCAAACAAATCACATTTGGACACGCATCACCTGCCAAGTAAATCAATGGAACACTTCTACATTTGTTAATGCGTCTTTATTGCGAGTGACCCAACACTATTGCACACATGATATTATAACCATACATTGTTCCAAATCCCAAACATAATCTATGTTAATTTTCTCATGTACATACATACAAAACAAACAATGTAACAAGTATGGCAAATCACACAATTAAAAACATATTAAACATCATAAAAATAAATATTATAGAATTTCAAACAGTACTTGATGATACTTCTAGCATAATAAATTGATTACAGTATTACGAAATCACTCTCTTGATTCTACTGTATACTTTCGTACCATGGCTTCACTGCTATGTGAAAAGCATGTAACGGGTATCCCTGAGGGCTATAGACATGAATAAACTAAAATCTGAGAGAAATCAAGATTAATATATAACAGGTGCCTTACTTGTGGCATAATATGCACAATTAGCACAATATCACCAATGAAGCATAATAAAAGTTTATTGAATATAAGACATAAAATTGATGGTTTTAGTATGATATTAATTTTCTAATCAAGTAGCATATATACTGCAATGCAGCCAAAATTTCATAAGTCACACTTTAGAATGAGTCTTCAACCCATTCCTATCCTTATACCTTTGATATATGTAGTATGAAGTTATTTTCCGACATAAGCAATTTCTATATATAGACATTGAATCAAACTACGGTGCGAAATGGATTGAAAACAGAGAGATGATCTCTGACAAAATTAACGTAATGAAAACAAAAAAGAACAATAACTCTTCCAAATAAAGTCAAATCAAAATGCAATTAAGAAAAGCAAGGTGATTAAATTTTGAAAAAAACTGGTTAAAATTGAGATCTCAAAACAAGATTAACAATGAAAATAACAAAGGGCAGTAACTCTTCCAAATAAAGTGAAGTTAACTACCTTTCAGGAACACACCTTTATATCATGGTGATTAAGCCTACCAAGAAATTGGATGAAAACTGAGAAAGATGATCTCTGGACAAGATTTACATTTTGAAGACAAAAAGGGGCATTAACTCTTCCAAATACAGCCTAATCAGCTTGTAATTAAGGAAAGCACAATTTCATGTCATAGTGGTTAAGCCTACCAGGTTTGAAAAAAGACCAGTTGAAAACTCTTGGAGAAGATCTGTGGAAAAAATAGAATTTACAACTGTCGAACCAACAGACAATGCCATACTGTAATAAATACTGTGAACATTTTTGTGGACATAAAGAAACTCTTATATCATTTTTGCAATATTGAAATGGATCTCACCAGTTTCATATTACACAAATATTCAAATAAAAATTCCTACCTATCCAGATTTGACTAGCGAGTGGGTCATGCACACACACACATGTACTACTTCATGTCCCAAGAACAATATGTCAGAGGTCAAACACATTAATACTCCTCCATCTCTCAAGAACATGTCAAATGTCGATGACACCAAAGTGTACTGATCCATGTCCCAAACACATGTCAGACGTCCAACACTCTACGTCCCATGATCAGGTCAGGGGTTAACCACATGTGTATTGATGAAAATACCAAGGCAAAATCAGAGATGAACACATATGTACTGATCCATGTTCCAAGAACATGTTAGAGAACAACACCTGTGTAATAATTGATGTTCCAAGAACATTATAGATATCAAACACATTGTATATGGAAGTCAAAATAATGATGTTCATGAATATTTGCTGAATATTATGTTCTTGATTCTAGTTAAAAATATCATTGTATACACAATTACATTTACTTTCACTGATGACTAGTCTAATGGCTGCTTTGACAGTCCAGATTAAGTAGTAGATTACACAGTTAGTTTGATGATACAGTCTTCATGTATATACACCTACACACCTGTTACTCACTATATATGCCTGTCTGTATCTGCCAGTTATGGTAACTGTAACTTTCAAACAGGGTAATGGCACATGAATATTTGGTTCCAATCATTGGTGATGAAAAGATGGATTGGTGAATTTTGAATTCTCCAAAATTCACACCTTTACTGATCATCCTGTATTGGGCAGTGTGATAAAAAGATGGATTGGTGAATTTTGAATTCTCCACAATTCACACCTTTACCGATCATCTTGTATTGGGCAGTGTGATAAAAAGATGGATTGGTGAATTTTGAATTCTCCACAATTCACACCTTTACTGATCATCCTGTATTGGGCAGTGTGATAAAAAGATGGGTTGGTGAATTTTGAATTCTCCGCAATTCACTTCTTTACAGACCATTGAATATTTGCCAGTGCATTTGTTATGAAGAATATGAAGGAATGTATTCCTCGAGACTATATTGGCGACAAAAACACATTGAATCAATCCGTGGTCAGCATGATGAGTTCTTGGTCAGTGTGATTTATTGACCCATACTGTATCTGTCACTGTATTACTGGGTTTGTAAGGAAATAACAAGCACAGCAAAGCTATGAGTGCACCTGTTATATAAATAGTAATCACAGTTGTTTCTTTTGGAAGGTAACACTGCTTTACAACAAAGTCATTTGGAGACAGCACCACCTGCAATAAAACAATCAAAACAAAATACAGAATTAAAAGGGTGACACTGTAACAGATACTGTATAGTAAAGAACCCATTCTATTCTTATATTCTAATAGTGTGTGCATATTCTCCTGCATAAAGATATATCACAAAAACAGATTTTAATCTGAGAGTAACCTCCCCTTGTGTGGTAATGTATATTTTTGAGATTGCTGTTTATCTTTATATATCCATCTTGTCATCTTGTAATCTTCATATTTATCTTTGTTTTCTAAAACTCAGGTTTTGAACTAATTTTGTAAATTTAGGATTGTGGGCTGCAAGTTATATAAAACATTTTCACACTGCCATGAATTATCTTGATAATTTCCTTTGATGCTTATTGACTGATGTTTTCAGTTTTATATCCTAGCTTTATATACTTTCAACAGCTATGGTCGTTAAAAAATGGTTTTGTATTGCTTAACATACTATCAAAAGCTATGATAATTTAAAAATATTTCATCACTTCATTTTATCTAAAAATAATGTAACCTTTGGAATTGGGAAAGCATGATGAATATTGGAATCTGTAACATAGAAACATACCTGTAGGAATGTAGGGTTGTTTTTGTTTCGCCAACTTAAGGAGGCAACTGTCCATTCTGGAACACCGTTGCTATGGAGACGAAAACAGCCATGGTGTGTATGAGCACTCAAGACAAGGCGAGGTTTGATCCACTCAAACACCTGTATAAAACAGGTCAAACACTAGAATATACTTTTGTACTGTTTTCTTTATATTGTATAAAAGCATTTAAAGGGAGCTTTCAGCAAAATCATTGAAAAAAAATTGTGACAAATGGAATGTCATATTCTTCGATATACATGTATCATGTTTTAGAAATAAGGGGTTTATCTATATATATTAATTACATCAATATAACAAAAGATCCCAGAGGGATCTTGGTGCCCACCATTGTTTGATTTTTAATTGCTCTTTGAAATTTCAATCTTTTCCCTTCATTTCTCTTCTCCGTTTTTGCTCTTATTGATCAGAAATTTGAACATTCCTTTGCAAAAATATCTTTACCTGCCAAATCCAAAAAGGTCACCTGAAAGCCTTTTTGTTTTTTCTTATCAGTCCCAAAATCAAATGGGCACAACTAGGGACCAAGGGGAACCTACATATGAAATTTGAGAAAGATCCATCCAGATGGATGGAAGACGGACCAAGGACATTGGATGATTTTAATAGCCCACCATCTGATGATGGTGGCTAAAGACATCCATAAAATAAAATAACTAGTTTATTAAATAACACACAAAATAAATAGCTGCAAGTACCTCTAATCAATAATCATGTTTTAGGCGTTTACCTGACTGCTGGACTCTTCTGAAAGGCAGTCCCATTTCTCCTTAAAAGGAATGTCTTTTTCATCAGGAGGTGCCGAATCTGGTAAACTACAGTTTGCATCTGAAGGCCGGTACATTGGAAAATGCTGAAAATTAAAAGATGTATATTTGCACAAACTACTTATTGTAGCAGAGATTTTCTATTATCATACACGTATGTCCTAGGCTGTGAAGGAAATTAGTATAACCATGGCTTCTTTAAAGCTGACTCTCTCAGAATCTACAGTATTCAAATAATCAGTATGATATTTGTTTCTCTGGAGTTGCCTCCTTTAGAATATTAAAGCTCAGCTATAGTACTAAAATAATCAGCCATTACCATTTAATTAAGGATGAGTTACTTTAGAATTGTTTTGAAGTTAAGAGGTAAAACATAATGTGATCCTAGTAGAGAAACATTTCTCCTTACTTTGTACACAGATTTGCTGAATATTCCTAACTCAGTATGAAAACTATAACTCTTAATGCATAAACAGCATTAATTGATAAACAGTAGGGGCTTACCTGTAGTAATATTGGAGGAGAGTATGTCATTTTTTCCATAGCATCACATATAGGTGGAGAACTCTTACTGGATGTTTGTCCCTGAGTCGAGAATAATCATTAAAACAATTGTATTTAGTTATCTGACAATAGGTCCATGTCTGTCTATAAGCAAGCCCATATTATTGCTGTTCTTAAGAATTGAAAATTAATGTTATATTATCATGCAATCAATAAAACCCCCTTCACTAGGAAAGAATTTTACATTGTATTATGATGGAACAAATTTCTATCAATGCAGTACATAGCCAGTATCTACATATAGTGAATTAAACCAATATATCTACCTGTTGAAATTTAGTATTAAGAGTACCTATGATTGCAAGGAAAAGAACATAGGCTTGACCATCTAGAAAAAAAACCCAAAACAAAATGATAAAAAAAATTAAGTGAGACCATCAGGAAGATAGGCTGTTGCTAGGTAATTTCTACAGCAGGAAATCTCAAATGATACATAAATATTGTATGTGGTGAACTATAGTGCATAGGAAATTCACCACAGCAGGAAAGAAAAAGTGGAAGTCTGATATCTAATAATGAGTAAGAAATGGGATTATACTTAATGGTGAAATCAGTGACTGGAATAAGTGATGGAGGGAAATCCTCGTATTCTTAATGATTTCTCTGTCATCCTATACAATACTTTACCATACGTCATACGCTGTGCTAGGCATCTGTCTCATGAATGCAATCTTATCATAATTTATCTATTTTGGTATCATTCGGCTGTACCCACTTGGTAGTGGTTATATATATCGTAATTATTATTTACCTCTGCACACTTGAGCTGCCATGAGATTTCTTCAAGAGAGTTGACTGCCTGGGCACACAACTTACAACCATCTCCTTCCATGGCCATGCTATTCATCAACACAAATAGGTTTCCATGAAACTCAAACAGCTGGACTGAAGGTGACGAGAATGCTTTCTCAAATCGTCTGTGTTTATGTTCATTCATCCTATGAATCAATGGAGAAAATAAACTGTTATAAATTATATGTTTGGCAGCAGTAGCAAATGAATTCGTATTTGTAGTCAAGTGGAACTCATGTGGTTATCTAAAGCAATATCTGCAGTTATGGGGGATGTAACATGAAATAAAATGTGATTTTCAACACAAGAATTATTTCACATTGATAAAATCAGTGATTTCTGCAAAGGAAAATGTTGTATCCTTGAACTATTAAGTTTTTGTTAAAGACGAAACATGCACTGTGCTGGACTTTAGTTTCACTTGAGGCATTGTGACTTTTGAAATTGTTGACAAATTCTATCAAGAGACTTAAGTTGTCTCCCCTCATGTCAAACATCTTTAATAAAGGGAGGCAACTGAATATTACTACCATATGGGACATGCCTACCAAAATATTCACTTTTGATAGTTGTGATACACATTTTGCCTAAATTGAAATGAGTTTTGAATTTAATTGTGAGTGTATTTATGTGTAATGCAACCACTACACACATGTACTCTAGTGTCATTATTTCTTGTTTACTTTCAATTTTTCTGTTGGATTGCAGGCAATCACAGAACACTCAAGTTTTTACAATAAACATTATTTCATTACTGAAGGTACCAACCCTTACATTTCTTTAAGATGGTGTCAAGATAATTTACCTATATCCATGTAAAATTTCTAGCCAAATATTGAGATTTCTACATAATAAACTTAAAAATTCCCCAAATCAAATTCATGAACTCCAGGAAATCCAATGGCTTCCTAGATCTGAATGAGAATTCCTAAAACATGAGAAGAGATCTATAGAGTAAACCCACCAGTATCTGTCCTTATACTGACTTACTTACATGTAATGAAATCCAATGTCATGGTTACCTACAAGTACCCTTGTAGTTGTATCTTTTGGTGTTGAAAACATTCTTTTGAATCTGGCAACATCCTTCTTGAACTCTGCATCAGTGGCCCACTTGCCCTCATCTAGTAGATCACCTGTTGAATGACCGACTTGTGTTATATTGGAGTTTTAGAATGTTATTATCAAAGCAAATTAGAGTTCTGACATCAAATAATTTCAATAATTGATTTAAATGATTTAAAATAACACCACATAATCAGTGACTATTTGTAAAATATATTAATTGTTTGAGAATAAAATATGTTTTACCCATAACAACTTTTGTTAGAACTGAGTTCTTCTACTATAATCAAACTCATTATCAAATTGTGCTTATAAAAAGGGGAAATCGTTGACATGTTGGTGACTGATAAACATTCAATGCTCTCCACAAATAGACAAGCAGCAGACATGTAAGTATGTTTATACTCAAACTTGTGCTCAAGACTTTTACACATTAAAACACCAAGAGTTTAATAGGTGGTGAAAAAAGGAACTATCATAAGTATAGCTATAGGTGATCGCTCCTCAATTTCAATATTGTAGGAAATAAAGAAAATTTCTTAATTTGTTAGGAAACTATTACAAACGAACTTCCACAGAATGTGCTTTGGAAGCCTTTATTGCATGGATTATCTAGTGTGAAATGAAACAATAACAGACATAAGTAAGAGCTAAACAATACCTAAAATGAAGACCACATCAGGACTATGTATCAACATGCTTGTCTGGAAGGATCTTTCCATCTGCCATTCTCTGAAAAAGACATTTATTCACTATTTCTATACAACACAAAGTCACTTGGCACTGGTCAAAACGAGTGAACTCATCTGAAAAATTGATATTAGTATCAACAGAAGATGCACTCACACAAGAGCTAAGGTCATATAACGATGGCGTCTACAGATAATGAGCCACACAACAGGTAAGGTCATATGACAATGGTATCTACAGATAATGAGGCCACACAACAACTAAGGTTAAAGCCATATAATGGTTAGGTCTACAGTAAATGAGACCATACAATAGGTAAGGTGACATGATGTTGGTGTCTACAGATAATGAGGCCACACAACAGGATTGGTCACATGATGTTGGTGTCTACAGATAACGAGGCCACACAACAGGATTGGTCACATGATGTTGGTGTCTACAGATGAGGCCACACAACAGGATTGGTCACATGATGTTGGTGTCTACAGATAACGAGGCCACAAAACAGGATTGGTCACATGATGTTGATGTCTACAGATAACGAGGCCACACAACAGGATTGGTCACATGATGTTGGTGTCTACAGATAATGAGGCCACACAACAGGATTGGTCACATGATGTTGGTGTCTACAGATAACGAGGCCACACAACAGGATTGGTCACATGATGTTGGTGTCTACAGATACCGAGGCCACACAACAGGATTGGTCACATGATGTTGGTGTCTACAGATAACGAGGCCACACAACAGGATTGGTCACATGATGTTGGTGTCTACAGATAATGAGGCCACACAACAGGATTGGTCACATGATGTTGGTGTCTACAGAGGCCACACAACAGGATTGGTCACATGATGTTGGTGTCTACAGATAACGAGGCCACACAACAGGATTGGTCACATGATATTGGTGTCTACAGATAATGAGGCCACACAACAGGTATGGTCACATGATGTTGGTGTCTACAGATAATGGTCCCACACAACAGGTAAGATCACATGATGTTGGTGTCTACAGATAATGGGGCCACACAACAGGTAAGATCACATGATGTTGGTGTCTACAGATAATGAGGCCACACAACAGGATTGGTCACATGATGTTGGTGTCTACAGATAATGAGGCCACACAACAGCTTATGTCTAATCAACATGTTTTTAATAAACTCAGAGTGTGATGTTTGAAGTTAGCTAATGCCATTTTGACAAAGAAATTCTGATTAACAGTTAATAAACTTACCTGCGTAATTTATCAAACCAGTGTCCTCTCTTGATTCCAAGTAGATGAGTGTCTGCTATCACCATAGCCTTGACTGGCTTGTTGATATCACCATTTCCATAAAGGAAACCTTCACTTTCCGGTAACTTTGGCCATTTACACATGAGCAACACAACAAAATAATGAAAGTACTCACAATAGAGAACCAATAGAAACACCATAAAGAGGAATCGCACTAGTCGCCTAGTCCTGATATAGAAGAACACACGCCCAGGGATCTGACATATTATCCATACCATTGTAGCTGATCTCACCACCATTGACACTTTGTACCGATCCAATTGCTGTTATTCATCACTGTACTCACAACAAACAACTGCCAAAATAAAGAATGACTTAGAAAATGGTCATAATTTTATTATATATTGATTACACTGAACTGTACCAACAACTTGTTTCCAGCGGATAGAAAGAAGAAAAAAATCAGAACTTGCTATACATGCATATTAACTAATTTTATACAAGTAAAACACAATAAGGAAGTGCATTGTGCCATATTCTATCTAATATTTTAGACCTCCAAACGTGTGAGGCTGAACATGCTGGAGACTATAGTAGTTGACAATCAGTAGATGAGCCATACAAGCTGAACATGACCATGTTCCACTTGCATTGTGTGCATCTACTAAAAGGCTAGAATAGCTTTAATAGCTGGTATTTCAAAGATGTTTGTGCAATATATTTACATTATCATATCTTGTAAGGGAATGAACTGAACGATATACTATTAAACTGCTTAAAATTGTCAGAATCTGGATCACTAGTTCATAAGTATGTATCTTTATGTGACCCTGGTAGTAAAAGTAATATGGCGACAACTGTGTTTCAAGTGTTGATTGTGGTGTAAGTATATTTACCACTAAAAATATGAGTAATTCAAGTGAGTTTTATTCCGTTAAACCTGAGAGATCTACTGCCTTATTGCCACCTTCCAATGTTGCAATTTTGCGAAAAGTTTACAAACATCTGCGGGTTGACTTCTATGAAATGTTAACAATATATAAAAAGAGATGTGCATGACAAATCGAGCTTACTTTGAATAAGGAGACTACAAACTCATTTCTATACAAGTGGTCGCTGGACTCGACTAACAGCTTCGTACCAGAAAGGAAGTCGAGAACCACAATCAATATTAATCCGGAATTTTATTTCCGGATATGATGATTTAATTTCGCAAATTTTGCTGAAAACTTTTATTTATGAATTAAAACATTATAGGGTCATGTTGAGTTTTTACGACAATTTTGGTGATATTTGCATTGATACGAATGCACAAACTGGACAAATATTCTTCACCGCGGACTGATCAAAGTTGGAAAGAAGCAAGTGTAAAATATACTGAAAATGAAACTGAAAATTAACCATTTACCTCCCTTGTCTGAGCTGTCTTTTCCTGATTCCGCCATAACCGGTAGTAAAATGACGGACTAACTCTATTCTGTAGTTGACTTGTACCTGTCGTAAATACAAGTTTTAAGATTAAATCAGGAGAACGTTTTACAAGATGGCTAAACCGAAACTGATTATATTTGACCTTGGTGAGTATAGTGAAATCCATTCATGGATCACATGTACATGTAATACAGAGAGGGGTTCTGCTACATGTAAAATCGGTAATGGTCTTTTTCAGTCACTAAAATAGATACATCTCAATAGGTTTAAATGATACATTGATGACAGTCAGATTCAAACTTCTGTATTTTGAATACATGAGGTAGAAAATACTTTAATTAGCGACGAATTTCCATGGGAGATGGATCCAGGTACAGGAAGTACCAATCCATTAATGAGTGATGAAAGGCATTGGAGAATTATCGATGTGGGTGAGGTGACACCCCAGACTGAGGTAACTGTAATGGGAGGTCTTTTGTTTAAAAACCACTGTATGATTCTTGAATAAATACATCAGTGATACGTTGAGCATACATTTGCAAAAAAAATATTTTCATTTTACACTATACAGTGTGTGCACATGAGCAGGAAGATCCTGAGTAGGGAATTAACAATCTAACAATGGTGAGACTGATTAGTTAGTTGCTGTGTGGATTGGTCAAGGTGACCAGATGCTCATGTTTTACCTAACGTACAATCAGTTATGATACTGATTCAAGAGATTAGGGAGTGAAGGGAAATGGGGATGCTGGCAACCCATGAGCTGACTCTTGATCCTAGTGCCAACAAAATAAAGCAATAAAATCTAATATTTGAAAGTTGAATTCTGTGGAGAGAGTGTGAGGAATGTAAGAATAAACAGTTTGAACAAAATATTAGTATTAATATAAAAAATATATCTTAAATAAATCATATACCAATCTTAATTTCAAATAATTATCTGTTTTGCCATTGTCAAGAAAACATCAATTGTAAATATAAATACAAGATCACAGGACATCAAGTTACATGTATAGTTAAGCTTCATTTTGTGTCATCAAATATAATATTTTTATTCTGTTAGTAAAAGGATATTTTGTATAAGGTATTTAGAATTTAAAACTTTTGTTCCATTTGATAATTATACATTTTGTATATTTATTCAATATATGTAATGATATGGTACTAAACAGGTAGTGCTGTAATATAAAATGTATCTCTCTACAGCTGTACTGGTAAAACCACAGGCAGCTTTGGGTTGTATTGTCTCTGGGCTGAAACATCAAGAGGTCATGGACCTATATTTCAGGGATTTTTTCACTTTAACTGTAGTCTTTTTTTGTGAACTAGAAGTTAACTTAGCCTACATTCAACTATATGTAGCTTTGTCTTTCAGTATATGTATATCCATTGACAGACGAGGCTAGTACATATGCATGGATGAAAATAGTCCTTTTACACTCCCTGTACTGTACAATAGAACATGAAATGTTTGTACATATAAGTATTATATATGTAGTATGGACACACATCTATATGTATATCTGTATGTTGTCAATAATTTTTTAAACTTATTGAATTTTGTTTAGTGTTTAATTACCTTTAGTGATTTTTTTTCAACACACTAGAACATATCTCTTTATGTTTCAACACACTATTAAAAAAATTGCAGTTGCGATGAAAATCTTGCATTTTGTTTATGCCTGTTCTTGCTTCTTTATAGAACAGATTGAGCTAGATGTAGTATAACTTTGATAGCCATGAAAGTACTAAGATACAATTTAATTGATTACAATGCCTATTTATTTATGTAATACTTTTGAATACAATTTTGTACTACGGATTTGTTACAGATTACACACTTTGGCCATTCTGGGTAGACACTCATGTTGATCCTCCATTTAAAAAAAGAAGGTAATTGAAGAAGTGGCAGTACTAGGCAGTTTGGCCACACATCAGCAATGTATTTCCTTAGAGCATCTTTAAATACTCTACCAAGATACTTAATTTTGGAAAATACTTGTTCCATATTTCATCGATGGTGCACTTACAGATTATTAAACAGAGAGTAAATCCAGTCATTTTTCACAGTAAATATTTTTAAAAGATGTCCCTTACAGTTTCAAATAACAAATTAAAACTTACACAGACAAATATGGAAATTTACTCTGTATCTGATTCATTTAAGTTCATTATGTTAAATACACTCCTGATTGATATGTGATAAATCAATGGGTTATAACTTTGTTTGCTGGTTATAGACATGCATGATTATAGAATCAATGGTATTACACACATACTGAAAAGATCAAAGTCTCTACTTTAAAAGTGTTGTTATCATATAATGAACATAATTGAAGAATGTCAGAATTTTGTAGAAGCACATTTACCAGGTAAGGATTGTCTTTGTGAAATACATTTGAAACAAGATCTGTTGCATGGAAATAATTTTGACACTTCTCTCTGTAAGTCTCTGATTTTATTTGATTTCTACCTTTTCATCAAACAATTTTTTTGATTTGAGGAGAGTGTATGAGTATAAATTATTCTTTTTAAGATTGTGGTTCAGTTTTGAAGATTGAATTAGAATAAGCTTAATTATTTTTCAGTGATGGTAAGGTTGAGGATTCCCGTGGAAAATATGTCAAATTTTACCCAGAAGTACCAGGGATGCTACAAAGGCTACATGGGGAGGGGTACAAATTAGGCATAGCATCCAGGTAACTAATATATCTGTGTAATATTTAGTGATTTGCTGACCTGGAAGTAACTGGTTCTCAAAAAATATCTAACCACATACCAGGATGAGATGGACTGGTCAAGTCACTGATTCACTCTAGATATAGAGGATATTTAATAGTTTCCTGTTTAATATATATATATATTACACTCATATGAAATACTGATATATTTCTCACAATTGTTAAGCACAGGTGGAAAATTTAGATATATTCTGGCATACAAATGGTATATACGATATTAAATGAGGAACCATTAAATTTTCTTTTCATTACATTTTTAAAGGTAAAACAAATAAAAAAATCAATACTTAGAGTAAAGCCTGTTTAAAACAAATTTGGGAAAAAATAGCACATTAGTTTGACATTATACTTGACAACAAGATGACATCGTTTAGAATAGGCTGCTTAACACAGTATTCTACCATTTTATGTTGTTATCTAGTAAGCATCCCTTACACAACTTTTATTAAGTGCCTCACAAGACAAAACCCAAAATGTGCACAGAAAAGATTTGATGGAAACCTAACCTTTTTGGTATTCACTTCATTTTCTGAACAGAAATATTTGTTAAGTTTAATGTTGTGATTTTGATTAGTCAAAAATACAAATAAGATTTTATATCATGTATGTTTTACTCGAATTGATAAATTCCTTCATTTCTCTGGTTAAAATGTAATAAATCAGCATAACTTAGTGTACATGTCATGGACAGGTCAGGTCACTGATTCTAAATGAAGATACCAGCATACATGTCATGATCAGGTCAGGTCACTGATTCTAAATGAAGATACCAGCATACATGTCATGGACAGGTCAGGTCACTGATTTTAAATGAAGATACCAGCATACATGTCATGATCAGGTCAGGTCACTGATTCTCATTAAAGATACCAGCATACATGTTATAATTTGGTCAGGTCACTGATTCTCAAAAAAATATCAACATTTCATGAAATTGTTGGAATAGATAAATAGAACAAAAGTTTATTATTCAAAACACAATATATTCCACCTGTGACAGAGGGATGTATATATATCACTGTTTTATATACAGAACAAAACAATCTCAAAAGTTGGAATGTTACTCACTTTGTGAAAATTTTTAATTGAATTGACAAAGTTTGACATTTATTTTTTTCTTTTAAAAATAATTAATGCATTTACCTCTAATGAACTTGAATTGACCTTCTCACCCTGTAAAATAATTTTGTTGACCTTGACCTCTTGAGCTTGTTTAACATTGTATTGACCTTATTTAAAAAATTACAGGACCAGTGAAATTGATGGGGCCATGGACCTAGTGAACCTGTTCAACTGGGATCAGTATTTTCATTATAGAGAAATATATCCAGGATGTAAAATAAGTCACTTTAAAAGGTGATTTATAGATGTTCACTCTGCAATAATATTTTGATCTCATTTTTATTTTGATGTTAAAGCTAAAACAATATGCATGTATACTCTTCAGGATTTGTTTTTATTTTTTTAACAAAAAGTCAAAGGATTATGTGAATCTAACAGCATCAATAAGCATTTTGATAAAATACCGTAATTTTACCAGCAAATATTTAAAGCAGTTAATTGTTGTTTATTGTGTACATTTTAATGCTGAGTGTGCCATGTCACCGTACTATCAAGTGCATCATGGTGGTTTTTTTCTGTTTTATTTTCAGGTTTAAAGTTGACAGTGGTATTGGATTCAATGACATGCTATTTTTTGATGATGAGTACAGGAACATAAAAGATGTTGGATCTTTAGGTATGTAAAACTAAAGATGGCAAAACATAGAAATGTTAACAAATTGATGGAGTCTAGTCCATGGTTCCTAAAGAAACAGTCCACATTAACAAGGATTTCAAAGCTTTATATGTAAAATAGACCTTTACATCTGGCATATATCACTGGAACACATATGGTATCTGATGTTTACATGTACAACTTAAATCCTGAACTCTTGACTCATTTCATGGGTATACCCTTAAGACTTAACAAAAATTGTTGGTATGTTTATCTAATTTAGTAGGGTGGCATACACCCTTAATGTTACCATGAATTACATGTATCTATCTAAGGTAGCAGCCAACTTTAATGCTATCATAAAATACAGGTACGATACCTTATATAGCATACAACCTTAATTCTAACATGATTTACAGGTATGATGAGGTAGCAGACAAACTTATTTGAATGCAATCATATAAAAAACCTTACATCTATTGTTCATATGTAGCATGCGTCTTGAACATTGGACATAGATCACTGTTAAGATGTCTAATTGTACTTATGTAGAATAGCTATGGTACATAAGTAGCGTAAATCCTGAAGTCTTGATACAAATCACAGGTATCATACAGTGTAGTTAAGGTAGCATACTCTCTTAATTTTCACACAAAATCTGAGGTTTATTTAAAGAACACACTTCACAAGTAATGTATTTGTTTCACAAAAAATACACAATACTGCATTTTAGATTGAGCATGAGTTTGATATTTTAAACCAATTTTTAGCACTGTCATAATCAGTATGTTTGTTCTGAAATTTAGCAGTGTGGTTTAAGCTTATATATTATTTCAGGTGTCATCAGTGTATTGGCTGAGAATGGCATGAGCGAAGCGACTTTGAAGGAAGGACTGGACGAGTTTGCTGCCAAAAGAAGATAACAAATTCTTACACTGATAGAGAAACTGAATGGTCACATTTTATTCTAATTACATAGGCAATGTAACAGACAATACTTAATATGACAGAGTGATGTATATTTTTTTTTAGAGATTTATGATTTCCAATATACATTTTAAAAACCAGTCACAATAGCCCTTCCCACAATACCTGGTCTATCTTCCTGCGCCAACTCCTTGATAAGCCAACCTCCCTACTTTGAGTCAGAAGTTATATGTTTGTGTTTTATTTCAGAATGATCATAACAAATACCAGTGTCGTCACCTACCTATCATTCTGTCTCTATTTATATAAAGCTATATATCCCTAATATTTCGTTAGTCACAGTTTATCAGTTAACATTAAGGAATCTTCCGTTCTGTGTATTGTTGAATTTGATAAACAAGCAATGAAATGACATTGTTGTGTAACCTTAATTTTACATGTGGGGTATGAAATATTTCTAGTCACTAAATTTGTTGTTTTTTTCCCCGTAATACTGACATGCAAACTAATGACGCAACAATCAATACCTACTCACAAGAGCAGATAACTCTGCATTTCGAAACAATGTAATATGATGAAATTCAGGTTTTCTGTGATTTTGTAGTTTACATTTGTAACAAATTTACCTATTTCATTGCCTCCGCTAAGCTTTAACCAGGAGCCGCTGACATTCTACTCTTGCCCACAAACCGATCGGGCTTAGAACAGCTCTCTAATCGAGTGGTATATTGCGGGTAGTAGTTTACCATTGTTACACACTGGCGTTCTTCTTGTTTTTGAAATGTAAAAAAGATTGTTTACTTGTCTCATAGTAATGTTTATTTAGTGACGAATGTCTGTATAAGTGAGGAAATCCAGTTAACACTTGATACCATTTTGTTGATTTTATTAATGTTTCCATGGAGAAAGCTTCGACACAAATAGCGGGTAAAATAGTCATTGTGTATTTATATGGAGTTATTTATTACAATTAATTTTGCCTCTTCCAACACGCGAATCGAAACTGTTTTTATTTACCATGCATCTCGTACTAGGAATGTTTTCACCATTTTTCGGTTTATTTTTTAAGCAAAAAGGACATATCATTAGGTGTACCTTACAGAGTTTTTCCGCCTATATAACCTCTTAGCACATCCTCCCCACCAACACACCAAGATTATCGTTATTTAGAAGTTCTCCTGATTAAAGACAAAGACACACAACATATTATTACCCTAACCTTAACTGATGAAAGTGTCGTGCATCAGCCGTGAAACATTTTGTAGTGGCGACATGACTTCCATATATTTAAGGTTGTATAATATATTTCTTTTCCTAAATCTGGTGCCGGTTCTACCATATAATCGATGATATTTTTGTGCACGTCCGTTGTTGTTTTTGTAGGTTGCTCTGCTGTGGGATTTCCAATGATTTAAGTATAATGTTATAAGGCCTTATATAATTTGGTATTTGGTTTTGATCCAAAACGTAGGTTGAACATTTATTTTACTCTGTTCAGGAACTTGTCCATCCAAAAACACAAAAAAGAATGTGTACTGGTGTGATACTCCGGAGTTATTCAGTCAAAGAATAAAACATTTTAGTAAAATCGTGTTTTTTGTTGTATTCAGATGAGCTGCGGCACCGTAACACTTACAAGAAGACTTGTTTTTTTTTATTATTATTTTCATATGGCGGCAAAGAAAAAAAATCATTTCACTGGTATTGCTGGAGTAACTACATTTAAAAAACACATGTTAAGGAAGCATCCAGGAGTTCGTCTCCAAACCAGCAGATATTTGAACAAGTAACAAGACAATTCGGCAAATTGGTTTCTAACCGACACACCCCCTCACTAGTAGAAAATACCAGTAAGAAGAAGTGTAGGTGATAGAATCAGAGCAATGTATCAGAAAGACGGACGGAAAAACACAAAAGTATGATATCCCGGATCCCGGTGGATGACTAAAAAGCATTGCGAATAAGTAACACGATGTACGACAAGATTTGAAAACGGCAGTATTCAATAGATTAATTTGTTCAAGGCAGTGTCAAAAAATGCTTACCCGGTTGTTAGTTTATGAAACAGAACAATGGCAGTTCTAGACATTCCTGCATATCGGTATTCTCAGGAGACATTATTACGGGGCTATCACAATTAACTAATCAGCGCGTGCCAGTCAATCTTTAATATCAATTAAGAGTTTTTGTTCAGTTATCATAAGTGTTCACAGTTACTATCAAATGAGAATTTTTATTCGGTTGTGACCATCGAGATGTGGAATTAATGGAATGTGGATTTTTAAAGTTAAAATATTTGTTTTCGTACACGATTTCACGTGCTATTTTCTGCGCCGATTATCAACACTTCACAGGCATTGACTAATAAAAACTAATTCAAAAATTGAAATACATTGAAAAATATATATAGATCTTATTAAATAGCTGTCTTGATAAATTCGCTTCATATTCTTATTTCGTTTCATGCAATGATAAAAACAGATTTGATAAGGTTTCTATGTATCAATGACCGAAATCTGTTTATGGCGACTAATATTGAGAAAATGATAAAGTGATACGATTCTTTTTGTGTATATTCTTATTATGTGTGAAATAATCTGTGAATGAATAGTCTACGGACGACGAATCAATCAATCAATCAATCAATCAGTTCTATGCTTCGTACAACATGAGAAACCATTAAAAAATGAACACAGAACACGGACATAATATCAGGAGAGAGATAATGAAACATGAAGACTGTCTACTTGTATAATACCAGGATCCTAAATCTGTGACCTACTTATTAGTAACCCCATTGAACAAAATGTATAATAAATGGTAAATCACGAGAGAAATATAGAATGTAAATCCATCCTTGTATGGAAAGAGAAACCTACATTTTTATAACCAGTCCAATGGGCACTCAATGAAGAATATAACTTCCAGATATTTATAATACTCCAAATAACAGTCAGAAATCTGAATCTGATTATCGCCCAAATTTGTCGGGTATTTGCCTATATTATAAAGTGTTTAACAGAAAGTAAATTATTGTTCCGTGTCCACAGAAAACGGTGATTACATTCCTATACCATAACCAAACACTCGCACGCCTTTCACTACTCTACTACAGTTAGCCGTTTGCGTCAAATGATAACGATTTATTGGTAGGGTGCGTTCATTCAAAGATTCCCGTTACACTAAAGCTGACGAAGCTAAAATCTAAAAATAGATCTGACTGCTATGAACATATATAAATTTCCGTATATGTTGGCTCGCGCTTACAACACGTGAAGCAAGCGACTAAGGAGCAGCATTTAAAACTTAATCATGAAAATAAGGCTCAACTATTTAACGGAAGTTGAAGTTCGACTCAGTGAGGTAAATATATAAACTCATGTCCGCTATATGATTTATGACCGCAACCCAATATAAACAATCACTAGAATTGATATAGCTACTGGGTTTATCGAATTATTTATCCATTTGCGGTCTTCTATTTGATTCATTTTATGAAAAAGCAAAACTGTTTGCTGTGTTTCATATAATAACACAACACAAAGACAAAAGTCACGATTCCTCGAGTTTATTTAACGGTGTTTTAATCGTTTGATTTCTGATGAAGTAGTACTTATACAAATCCCCAGGAATAAAGCTTGTTTTTTTCAATTGCTTCATTGTTAGCAAGTTATAACTCGAATACAAAATAGGTTCATACAGTTGCATCTCTTTATTTGCAGTTTTCGATGAATTTGATATTTGAAATGAGCAATAATAAAGTAAAACATCGACTCCTTTTGTGACATCAATGCGGCACGTGTCTGTGTTTTATATCTGCTTATTTTTTGTCTATTCAGAGACGGAAGAGAAAGGTTTCATCCCTGCTTAAACGACTGCCCCCTGACTCGGTTATAAAACGCTGGGGAAAGACGATTGCGAGTGAATGCTTGATAAGCAAGGCTTTCACCGATGGCGCTATTGTTGAAGTGGTCCGCAAGTCTAGGATTCGCACACGAAGGCTTTGGAATGGCGTCAAAAGATCAACTGAGCAATGCATGATCACCCTGGCCCGGGATGAACCAAGAGCTCAAATGCCATGTGGACACGCCATCAGTGAGTATTACATTGTGGTCCTGCCATAAAGAGTCACCATGAACAAAATTTCGCGGATTTTATCTCGTTATGAAGGATTTGACCTAATTATGGGATGAGTTAGCATATTGGACAAGATATACGTTATTGAAGCGACATATACATAGCCTGGAACGTTTTGATGAAATGTTTCCATACGAGTTAAGGAAAAGTGATCTAAGTAAGCTCGACTGATAGGTGCCAAGTATTCATTCAAAATGTGTTTTTAAAATCGACCGATAAATTCTTCGCCCAAAATCGTATCATTTCATTATGAATGTCTTTGAAAAATAATCCTTTCTGCTGAAGCTTTATTCATCAGACTTCTGTACCATTTGCTATTTTGTCTAAAAACAGAATTTATTCGAGATAACGTTATTTAAATTCAGTTCATTACGGTACTTCCTTTTGAAAGAAAGTTGTGATAAAGTTTTGAATGTCGTTATGCCTTTGATATTGTAGCACCTCAGGCACTGTACGACTATTGCTGGCATGAGCTGGAGAAAGGAAGTTCTGCAATCACTTGCCCATACGTCACAACCATCAAGGGAGACAAATGTGGGTCCAAATGGGATTCCTACACCGTCCAATTATCTGCTGCTATGTCCAAAACAGAAAAGAAATCATTTCAAACCAAGCTCGACAAAAATAGGATCAAACAACAGGAAATAGAATCTACAAACGTATATCCGGATGACATCATGATTTCGCTCCTCCATAAGTCACCAAAACTACGTGGATGTTCGACAGCTCTTATGCGCCGGGCATGTCCTAAATGCTGGAGTGTTATTGAACATGTGGCCGGGTGTCTAACCATGACTTGTCAGTACCCATCATGTCAGTACCGGTTTTGTTTTCGATGTCTTGGTAATTATGTATCGGGAATAGATCATAATAGATGCCATCAAGCACCTTTACAATTTTCTACCTATGAGTAAGTGAACAGACAGCATGCTGGCATTCTAACGACTGTATAATCAACAGGACTGTATATAGTGTACATAGCACCCATCACAGATCATATTTATATATTCTATTGTAGCATTCTTTATAATAGTCCGACTTGTATGCGTCTTACATCTATCTGTTATTACATGTTACTTACTGTGATTCTTTGTTGTTACTTTTTGTCCTGAATGTAAACATCAACAATTTGTAATGTTGACATCAACAATTTGTAATGTTGACATCAACAATTTGTAATGTAGACATCAACAATTTGTAATGTTGAAAGTTATAGATAGAAGTGTTAAAATATCGTACTGGTGGGATTGTTTTTGTATTGTAACAGTAAAATAATCAATAATAGATATATGTTTCTGTTTTTTATCATAAATACAGTAAAATATCAGTGTTCGTAAAAAGATACTTCTAGTTACAGTTCAAAGCCGCCATCAACCAACGCTAACCATTCACGGCCATTGACCAGTGTATAACATACAGTGAAGCAATGGTTATCTGCTGTATAAAATGTGTCGATGATGTTAGACAGAACGACTAATGAAACGATTATCAAAGAATGATGATCCACGCGAGTTTACTTAATATTCTTTTATTAGGGTAAGATGTTTCGAAAAAAAGTTATCGTTCAATTTTTTAAGGTTTAACAATTAGTCAGTTACTAATATACTGGAAAAAGTCTTTATATTGGTGTTACTAATGCACGTTCCAATCGGCCACTTACATCAAGGCTAGCAACAAAACATATTCAAACAGGAACACGATGGAAAGGTCAAGAAAGCGCAATATGATGAAATTCATCTTCTCTCTGATTTCGTAGTTTACATTTGTTTAAAATTTTATTATTCATTTTGATGTCTCCGCTGGATTTGAATCAGGAGCCGCTGACATTCTACTCTAACGCGGAAACCGATCGAGCTTAGAACAGCTCTCTAGTTGAGCGGTGTATTGCCTGTAGTATTTTACCATTGTTACACACTGGCGTTTTTTTTCAAAATGTAAACAAGATTTGATTAATTGTCACATCGTAATGTTTATTAAGTGACGAATGTCTGTATAAGTGAGGAAACGAAGAAAGTTTTGACAAAAATAGCGGGTAAAATATTAATTGTGTATTTATATGGAGTTATTTATTACAATTAATTTTGCCTCTTCTAACACGCTAATCGAAACTGTTTTTGCTTACCATGCATCTTGTACTAGGAATGTTTTCCTGTTTTTTTTTTCGGTTTTATTTTTTGAAGCAAAAAAGGACATGCCATTAGGTGTACCTTACAGATTTTTTCACAGTAACTATCAAATGAGGGTTGTAATTCAGTTGTGATAATCGAGGTATGGAATTAATGGAATGTGAATTTTGAAAATTAAAATATTTTTTGTACACGATGTCATGTGTTATTTACTGCGCGTCATGTAGCCTTCTGTAGTATCCAACCCTGTTCACACTTCACAAGTATTGACTGATATAAACAATTCAAAATTTGAAATACATTGAGAAATTTGGATCTTAGTAAA